TCTGCTTTTCCTATCTTGTTTTATTGCCATGCATTATTTGTTGCCAATTTCACCTTATTAGAGTGTGTATATATTTTCGACAAAAAGAAAAAAAGAGTGTGTGTATATATAGATCCGGTTTAATCTCGATTAAGTTACATAGATTAGATTTTCGGTTTACTTGGTTTTGTATATATATGTTAATTGTATATTGTAAGTTTGTTACGATTGAGAAATAAGAAAAGCATTTCAAAAATCTCTTTGCTTATGAATTCTATCACACACTTATACTAGATTTTAACCCGCGGTACACCGCGGGATGATTTATTTTTAAAGTTAGTATAAGAATATTTTGTAAATTGTAACTCCTTATAAAATATTTATTTATATTATAGTTTACAATTGTTATTAAGTAACGGTATACCACGAGTCCACGAGACAATTGTTAATAAACTGAGGATTTAACCCGTATTAACACGGCATGTTAATGATATTTATAAATATTCATTCAAATTTGTCCGCCATATAAACCCGTTCCAAAATATAACTCGTTCCGTAATTTTTAACCCGTCCCGTGATTTATTTTTATTTTAAAATTTAATGATTATTTATTATATATAAAAGTTTACAAATCATATCATTCTCTAAGACATTTATATTTTAATAAACTGAAGATTTAATCTGTATTAAAGCGGCATGTTAATGATATTTTAAAATTTTATAAATAATGATTCAAACTCGTCCACCATATAACTTCATTCCGAAATATAACCCGTCCTGTAACTTCTTAACCCGTCCCGTGATTTGTTTTCTAAAAGTAGTAATTTTTAAAATTTAACGATTATTTATTATATTTAAGAGTTTGTAAATTTTATAATTTTTAAGATATTTATATTTTATAGTTTACAATTGTTATTAAGTAACATTATACCACGGGATAATTTTTGGTTTTATACAATCTTTTCTAAATGAGACTGATTTAATATGTCTAATATTTGTGGTATTAAAAAAATTAAGGATTTAATCCGTATTGAAGCGGCGGATTAATGATATTTTAATCTTTTTATTATTGTTGATTCAAAAACCCGTTCCGTCAAACCCGTCTCGCCAAAAAACTCATTTATTTTATTAATGTTGATCTTATTTATGATATGATTCTGAATCATTGTCTAAGTATTTTAATCGATGTAGAACGTTGAACACACATTTTCGTCAATTGGATAATATATGTCCGTTTTTAAAATTTCGAATCACAGTATATGCAGAAAAAAAAATTAATTTTTTTTTTTATTTTATGTATTATATGATGATTCAAAACAGTTAAAAACAAATCAAACAAAGATTATAGGAGAATCATAATTCTAAATCTTAATCAAATCTTCTAAATATCTAAATTATTAAATATAGAATATCCGGTGCAATATATGGGTTTTATTTAACCCGACCCAAGTGTTTTTTTGTGAAGAAATTTTAAAAACGGGTCGGGTATCCGATATACCCGGAAGCATTTTTACCCACCCGTCACCAAAGTGTTGCAAAAATACTAGTATAGATTCTATTTCTTTTGGGAGACCAATTTGTTCTTGCTATTCATTAGATTCATTTTTAGTGAGATAATAAATGAAATTACCATTAAAATACCATATAATCTCATGACTAGAATTATTTTTTTGAAATTTAAAGGTGAGATGATTTTTCAGATATTTTTTTTTATTCAGAAAATGATCACCAGCAAAATAATGATCACCAGCTAGCACAAAAGGATAAGCTACATGTTCTGGTCCAAAACACCATCATGTAATCATATTTATTTCATTGATTTAATGTCTTTATTAGGAATTAAGACATTAAAGAAGGATATCACAACATTATATATGGAATGATGATTGAATATAATTTGGGATTAACTTTAAAGTGCATGCCGTTTTGGAGGAGATCTTTGGGTGTAGATGTAATCGAGGTGTGCATCCGACGTCGTTTTCATTAAACATTCCTCTGTTTCACACTTTGTCTCCATCTCCTACAAACAAAACAAAACAAATTTGTTAAATTCTACTTTATTTTCTTCTACTACTATAAAACTTAGATTTGTTAAACTAGTAAGAGTTTTATGCAATATTTTCAAAATTGTTTAGACGTAAAATGCAAAGCTAAAAGAATAAGTAGATCATAACGTGTAACTTAATGATTCGTGTTAGTGTTGTTAGTGTGTCACCATTCGAACTTAAACTTGCATAATGTATGTTGTTGACAACAAAAATTACTTAAAAGTGCGTATTGATGAAAAAAAAAAGTGAATATAATTAGGGAATAACTTTAGATGCATGTGGTATCGGAGGAGGATTTTGGGTATAGATGTAATCGAGGTGAGCATCTGATGTCGTTTTCATCAAACACTCCTCCGTTTCACAGTTCTTCTCCATCTCCTTCATTAAAATTAAAAGAAAATTTTATTAACTAAACATATAGTTTATAGAATATAATGCATTTAAATGGTCTCTTGAAAAAACATTCAACAATTTGGTTTTGCTAAGAGAATGATTATTTACCGTTGATTTGCTCTGGAGAGTCGAGTTGGGACGAGCCACTGAAGCAATAACCATGAAGCTAAGTAAAAGTGCTGCAACGATAAGAATGTTAATCTTTGACATATTTTCTTCTTCTTAAATAATCCTTTTTTCTCTCTTTTTTATTTGGTTTGGTTTGTAATATATACAGTGTTGCATGAGAAGTCAAATTGAAATTTATAAGGCAAAATTAGGTAAGATATCTGGAATAAGATATTTTTCCTTTTATAGCTGCAAAAAATTTCAACTCTTTAATATTGCTGACTGCATATTTATTTTTATTGGTAACTGAAATATTTTTTTTTATCTAAAAAGAGGAAGAAACTATTGATATTTTAATGCATTTATGGTAAAACATCTAATTTTAATTTTCTAATTGCATGGTTAAATTAAATTTTCGATTTTATTTTTATTTTTATTACTCATAAGTCAATCTTTCCTCGTCTATCTTATTGGTAACGCTTAGTTATAAGATCATCTCCATCCTTCAGACACTGTGTGGGTGTTTCAAAAATATTATTTTAATTATTTTATAATAAATAAGTTCTTTATTTAAATTATAAATTTTAAAGAGAGAATTTCACCAATAATATAAAGATAAGTGGAGACACAGTTTCTCAAAGTTTCTCAAACCTACTCTCTCTCCTACTTTTTTTTTATTTATTTTTAATTTTTTTAATCTTCGGACACTCTTCAAGACACTACCGTTGAAAATGCTCTAAATGAATCCTTAGTTGACTACCATTGGCTATTTAATGTCGTAAGAAATGCTTTTGACATAACTAAAATATGACATATAAAAACTACTGATCCTTTGATATTTTGTTTATTCTCTTTGAAAATTAATTTGGTTTCTCTATAAAAACTTTGCCTTCCAACACAAATATATAAAATAAATTAAATAAATTCTTGCTTTCTAGAGAAAGCTTTGATTTTTTTGTACTTTTTTTTTGTGTGTATGAACCTTCGAAAGACTACAAACCGCATGAACCTTTGGAAGGCTAGCTACAAATCAGATCATAGCTTGTTATAGGTGAAAATTGGTAACCGAGAGATAGTGGTCTAAGCCAAATATCAATTATCTTCAAACACATAATTCTCTACCAGCAAGGTGGTGGGCGAGTGGTAGGGCGAGTCCGAAGTTGAGGGTGAAATCCCCGAACCCGGGTTCGATCTTCCTCCCTCGCTGTTATCAACACTTTGTTGGGAAGTCTGGGCTTGGGCTTCGGCCCAGGCAGTTTACCTGGTAGTCTGGTAACAGGCGATCCAGCTACCCCCGGACATTAGTCGGAAAGCATTCCAAACTCGGATAGACATTGTGGTAGCCCATCCCTCGGGGTGGTAGTGAGCAGGGCCGTGCCAAGAGTTTTGGTGGCCTAAGGCAAAAAAAAACGTCTAATATATTTTTGTATTAAAATGTGTTATAATTTATAACTAAATTTAAACATTTTATTTTTTAATAAAATAGATATAATTAAAAATATTTTTCAATCTATGAATATAACATTTTGTACTATTTACTATGAGTGTATAATTTTACACTATTTTCATAATCTATTTTTTAATTAATATTATTTTTATCTATAAAAATACTAAAATTCAAAATATTATATTCTTAATTAATAATGAGGAATATCAATGTTTTTAATATATTAAACAAAAATTCAAAATTTTTAAGAAAAATAGCATTAAAAATATATATTTTATTAACATATCAATTATTATTTAAAATTTGGGGGCCCCAAAATTTACTTAATATTGAGGGGCCTAAAACATTTGCCTTTTTTTCTCCTCATAGGCACGGCCCTGGTAGTGAGTCCACTCTGTAGCACTCCGGTGCGTTCCTACCGAGGCTGACCGGATCAGCCGATCGGGTATATCAAAAAAAAAATATAATTATCTAGGAACAGTCAAAATAAAATGTCATGTTTTAGCTCTATTAGAAAATCCTATGAATGAGCCATTCTATGACTATACTCACTTTTGAGAAATTATTCGGGTGGTAAAGGTAGATCATCTTTCGATTATAACAAAAAAAACCTATAGATTTTGTTTGTATTAATCGCAAACGCTCTAGAAGTATTTTCCATTAAATAACAACAACTAAATCACAATATTGATTAATTATAATTAATTATTATTACCCGCCATTTCCCTTCACGAGCCCTATCACATTTTACTTTGACCCTTGACGCATTGTATATTCTTCATGCCCTGCATAAATGTTTAACGTTCATAATTAATATACTACTGCATGTTTGTTATTTTATATTAACGACTAATCGAATGTATGTTTTTTGATTGAGATTGTTGTGCTCACGAAATGTAGGACTTGGTCAATTCTAAAGCTTAAAATAAAAAACTCAGATCTTAAAACTCGCTTTCTTCTTCTTCCTCCATTTAAGTTTGCGATTCTTTTGCTCTTCCTTCTATCTCACATTTTTGTCCCAAAACAATAAAAATAAATAATAGTAGAAAGAGATTACAGAAAAAAGAAAGAAAACTAGAAAGGAGAAATGGAGAGTTACCTCAACTCGAATTTCGACGTTAAGGCGAAGCATTCATCAGAGGAAGTTCTTGAAAAATGGCGGAATCTTTGCAGTGTCGTCAAGAACCCGAAACGTCGGTTTCGCTTCACTGCCAATCTCTCCAAGCGTTACGAAGCTGCTGCCATGCGCCGCACCAACCAGGTCTTCCTTCTTCTACTACTTCTATTATGTCCCTTTATTTTACGAAAATCGCAACTATCTGACCTTGTAACCATTTTGGGTTATCTTGGATCGAATTTTAGGTTTTCAAGAAATGGTATTGTAGCTTTTAAACATTTTAAAACTATTTGGAAATTTTTATATATATAATTAAGTTTCGGTTTTCATGTCTTTTTTGATTTTATGAAAAACAGAGAATTTATATCGACCTATTTCAAGAACCATATCAGGTTTTCAAGAAACGATATTTATAAAAAAAATTTGAGCATTTAACAATAATTTTTAGTTTTCATTTAACTCCTTAAAAAATTATTAATATCTTAAAATTTTAAAATATATATATTCAAAGAAAGACTGATATGAGAACTTACCTTGTATAGCACTCTAACTTGAGATTGATTTTTAGGTTTCTCTGTTTCTGAAGATCATTTTCTTTTCCCTCCCAATTATTTTTGAAAATTTCTTTATATATATGTAGGAGAAATTAAGGATTGCAGTTCTCGTGTCAAAAGCCGCATTCCAATTTATCTCTGGTGAGTTATTAATCTAAGACAAAGGAAACTTTAAAGCTTTATTATTACATTTGTGTAAAAAGTGTTCTGTTCTTGATTTTGAAAAATGTTTTTTTTTTAGGTGTTTCTCCAAGTGACTATAAGGTGCCTGAAGAAGTTAAAGCAGCAGGCTTTGACATCTGTGCAGATGAGTTAGGATCAATAGTGGAAGGTCATGATGTGAAGAAGCTCAAGTTCCATGGTGGTGTTGATGGTCTTTCAGGGAAGCTTAAGGCATGTCCCAATGCTGGTCTCTCAACAGGTGAACCTGACCAGTTGAACAAACGACAAGAGCTTTTCGGAATCAATAAGTTTGCAGAGAGTGAACTACGAAGTTTTTGGGTGTTTGTTTGGGAAGCACTTCAAGATATGACTCTTATGATTCTTGGTGTTTGCGCTTTCGTCTCTTTGATAGTTGGGATTGCAACTGAAGGGTGGCCTCAAGGGTCACATGATGGTCTTGGCATTGTTGCTAGTATTCTTTTGGTTGTGTTTGTGACAGCAACGAGTGATTATAGACAATCTTTGCAGTTCCGGGATTTGGATAAAGAGAAGAAGAAGATCACGGTTCAAGTTACGCGAAATGGGTTTAGACAGAAGATGTCTATATATGATTTGCTACCTGGTGATGTTGTTCATCTTGCTATTGGAGATCAAGTTCCCGCGGATGGTCTTTTCCTCTCGGGGTTCTCTGTTGTTATCGATGAATCGAGTTTGACTGGTGAGAGTGAGCCTGTGATGGTGACTGCACAAAACCCTTTTCTTCTCTCTGGAACCAAAGTTCAAGATGGGTCTTGTAAGATGTTGGTTACAACAGTTGGGATGAGAACTCAATGGGGAAAGTTAATGGCAACACTTAGTGAAGGAGGCGATGACGAAACTCCGTTGCAAGTGAAACTTAATGGAGTTGCAACCATCATTGGGAAAATCGGTCTTTTCTTCGCTATTGTTACCTTTGCGGTTTTGGTGCAAGGAATGTTTATGAGGAAGCTTTCATTGGGAACTCATTGGTGGTGGTCTGGAGATGATGCATTGGAGCTTTTGGAGTATTTTGCTATTGCTGTCACAATTGTTGTCGTCGCGGTTCCTGAAGGTTTACCATTAGCTGTCACTCTTAGTCTCGCCTTTGCGATGAAGAAGATGATGAACGATAAAGCGCTTGTTCGTCATTTGGCAGCTTGTGAAACAATGGGATCTGCAACTACTATTTGCAGTGACAAGACTGGTACATTAACAACAAATCACATGACTGTTGTGAAATCTTGCATTTGTATGAATGTTCAAGATGTAGCTAGCAAAGGTTCTAGTTTACAGTCTGAAATACCTGAAGTTGCTTTGAAACTACTTCTCCAATCGATTTTTAATAATACCGGTGGCGAAGTTGTTGTGAACGAACGTGGCAAGACTGAGATATTGGGGACACCAACAGAGACTGCTATATTGGAGTTAGGACTATCTCTTGGAGGTAAGTTCCAAGAGGAGAGACAATCTTACAAAGTTATCAAAGTTGAGCCTTTTAACTCCACAAAGAAAAGAATGGGAGTAGTGATTGAGCTGCCTGAAGGAGGACGCATTCGTGCTCATACGAAAGGAGCTTCAGAGATAGTTTTAGCGGCTTGCGATAAAGTCATCAACTCAAGCGGTGAAGTTGTTCCGCTTGATGACGAATCCATCAAGTTCTTGAATGTAACAATCGATGAGTTTGCAAATGAAGCTCTTCGTACACTTTGCCTTGCCTATATGGATATCGAAAACGGGTTTTCTGCGGATGAAGGTATTCCGGCTACAGGGTTTACTTGCATAGGGATTGTTGGTATCAAAGACCCTGTACGTCCTGGAGTTAGGGAGTCCGTGGAACTTTGTCGCCGTGCGGGTATTATGGTGAGAATGGTTACAGGAGATAACATTAACACCGCAAAGGCTATTGCTAGAGAATGTGGAATTCTCACTGATGATGGTATAGCAATTGAAGGTCCTGTGTTTAGAGAGAAGAATCAAGAAGAGATGCTTGAACTCATTCCCAAGATTCAGGTAACTGTTTCTTGATTTCGACATTTTTGCTTTCTTTTTTTAGATGACTTAACCTTCTTGTTATGTCATAAGCCAAAACATTTTTTTTTTCTTAACAGGTGATGGCTCGTTCTTCCCCCATGGACAAGCATACACTGGTGAAGCAGTTAAGGACCACTTTTGATGAAGTTGTTGCTGTGACTGGTGACGGGACAAACGATGCACCAGCACTCCACGAGGCTGACATAGGATTAGCAATGGGCATTGCCGGAACAGAAGTAAGTTGAAATTTAGAAAAAATTCTAATGTTATTATGCAAACGACTCAAACATTTTTTAAAACTCTTTTAGGTAGCGAAAGAGAGCGCGGATGTCATCATTCTTGATGATAATTTCAGCACAATCGTCACAGTAGCGAAATGGGGACGTTCTGTTTACATTAACATACAGAAATTTGTGCAGTTTCAGCTAACAGTCAATGTTGTTGCCCTCATTGTTAACTTCTCTTCAGCTTGCTTGACTGGTAAGTTAAAGAATATGGCTGATTCTGTTTTGATTCAACTTTTCATTTTTTTTAAATTCTATTTTATTAAGGTTTCAATCTTTACTTAGTTTCTACATTAATTCACAGGAAGTGCTCCTCTAACTGCTGTGCAACTACTTTGGGTCAACATGATAATGGACACACTTGGAGCTCTTGCTCTAGCTACAGAACCTCCGAACAACGAGCTGATGAAACGTATGCCCGTTGGAAGGAGAGGGAATTTCATTACCAATGCAATGTGGAGGAACATCTTAGGACAAGCTGTGTATCAATTCATTATCATTTGGATTCTACAGGCCAAAGGGAAGTCCATGTTTGGTCTTGTTGGTTCTGACTCTACCCTTGTATTGAACACACTTATCTTCAACTGCTTTGTCTTCTGTCAGGTAAAACATTCATAAATTTTTACTCCAAACACTTGCAGATTTTGTGGTATTATGACTTACTTGGGTGGTTTGTTCTTAATGTTACAGGTTTTCAATGAAGTAAGCTCAAGGGAGATGGAAGAGATCGATGTTTTAAAAGGCATACTCGACAACTATGTCTTTGTGGTTGTTATTGGTGCAACAGTTTTCTTTCAGATTATAATCATTGAGTTCTTGGGCACATTTGCAAGCACCACACCTCTTACAATAGTTCAATGGTTCTTCAGCATATTTGTTGGCTTCTTGGGTATGCCGATCGCTGCTGGCTTGAAGAAAATACCCGTGTGATCGAAGACACAATGCCGATAACAACTTTGCTCTTATAGAACAAAAGTTCCTATTGACACATGCAAAATTTTCACAAAGCTTTTGCTTTTTTGCATTTTTTTCCTTTTTTCCATTGTTTACTAAGTTTGTGTTAAATAGGCTAAGGACAATTAATCTACTCATCCATTTTTTTTCTTTTTTTGTTTCTTTGTTGTTGAAATGAGTCCATCTTGACAAAAAACTAAAAACCAAAACTAGTCCGAGAATTGCAAAGAAATAAGACAGAAGTGATCATTAAAGAACTAGAGAAGAAAGTGGACACTATCAAAAAGATTACATTCAAATCTCTGTGGATGTTAGTTGTGTAACAGTTGAAACATAATTCTGAAAATGACCAGAGAGTTGAATGTTTCCTTGCATTATACACACCTATTTTCCTCTTCTTTCAATATTGATTACTTTCTTGTTTAGCCAGCTTCTGCTTTGTCTAATGTATTGTTTATCTTCTCTTTTTTTTTTAACATTTACACTTAAATATTTTTAATATATAATATACTGTATATTTGAAAATGAAACACCACATACTAAAATTATTTCTAGATTTTGTAGATTTTATTACAACATATATACATAACTTTCGATTATTTTTTGTATTATTTTATAATATTATACAAAAAAATATTATATTATATTATTTTATCTTTGTTTACGGTCTTAAAAATTCTTGGCACCGCCGGCTCTGAACGGGTTGTGTGTTCGCGTTCAATTTTATAGGTATCTTAGAGCATCTCCAATGGCCAAATTATTGGGTTCTCTTCAAAGGTTCTCTTCAAAAAAAATTTCAAAAATAAATGAAAATCATGGTAGATGAAGAGAGACAGCTCTCTTGTGAGAGACTTTGTGATGGAAGAGAGCCGATGACGTGGCAGTATCCCATTGGTCAATTTTTTTTTTTTTTAAAAAATTTTATTTATTCCAAACTTTCTCCCAAATGGGCATGGGCCGAAGCCTACACAAGAACAAATCCAGTTATAAAAAGCAAATCGGCATCTCACCGGAAAAGAAAAAAAGCTCGCCGTTTGTTGATAGATGCCCGCAGAGCAACATTGATGGTTGAGCATATATGGAGAAAATTTCGCAACAATCAACATAATAACTAATCATTTTTTTTTTTTTGCAAATTTATTTTCAAATGTATGAAATTATTGTATGTTTAATATGTTATGAATTGTAATATTTTTCAGTTTTATGAAATAAAATAATTAAAAAATAATTTAATTTTTTCCTGAGAACTCCACAAAGAGAGCCTACCATTGGACTTTGCAAAATTAAAATTTTTTAACAAAAGCTCTCATCTCATAAATTTGAAAATTATATTCTTAAAAAAATGGTGAGAGCCCATCACCATTGGAGATGCTCTTATGCACTGTCGCCCAAATCTAAGTGATTCCAAATTCTTTGATATTTGTTAATTCCAAATTTCTTTAATATTGCTGGACCAAAATAGTAAGTACTGAATCCAACTTCTACTATATTAATGCTGCACCAAACTAGTCAATGATTCCAAAACTCATTAATATTTTTGTACAAAATTATATGTATATTCTTAATTTTTAAGTCTTTTGTGTATATAAATTAATATAACCCAATAGTTATTGTCAAAACCAACCCAGTGTTTAACGTGTGGACGTCCACACAAAAATCTACTCAACGTGGAGCGACCAGTGAATCAGAAACGCAACCTACCCACTTTCTCTTTTGGTAACTAACTATATTAGCTCTTGTTGTTTTTTGTCCTAAAAGGAATATAAAAATTAACAGAGAAAATGAGAACTGTGTCACTGAAGTTGCTGCTTCTGCTTCTACTTGGCTTAAGACATCATGCTGAATCTGGTTCTATCGTCAAGTTTCTTCCTGGTTTGGAAGGTCCTCTTCCTTTCGAACTCGAAACCGGGTTTGTAGAATTTCTCTCTCTTTTCTTTACCAATCCAATTATGTGTTTTAGAACGTCGAAAATCATGATGGAGTGATGAGATATAGATATTTAAAAATTGATGTGTTCCTCTCATAATAATAAAGGTTATGACTTATGATACATATTTATAGAGCAAAAATATTTCTTAATCTTGATATATTATTATGATACCTTTTGATATCCTCTAGATGATCCTAGACCTAGATCCTTCTATAAATCATTGTTATGAATGAAGGTACATCGGTATTGGTGAAGAAGAAGAACTGCAATCGTTTTACTATTTCATTAAGTCTGAGAAGAATCCAGAAGAAGATCCTCTTCTTATTTGGATAAGTGGAGGACCTGGTTGCTCTTCTATTTCCGCTCTTCTTTTTGAGAATGGTAAATTCAAAATATTCATTTTTTTTTGTTAAGGTTATTAGTAAGTTTTTTAATTAAATTTTAAATTCTAAAACAAAATAAGCAGGGCCTGTGTCTATAAAGTTAGAGGTTTACAATGGAAGTCTCCCTTCTTTGGTCTCTACTACATATTCATGGACAAAGGTAACATAATTAAATTTTATTCATAGGTGAATTTAATCAAGACTCTTTTGTTTTATTTTTGTTCTGTGGATTAACGGGCGGAGATTAAGAGGTGGGCAAGTTGGTAGGCTCGCAGTCGTCTCATAGAGCACTGCGGAAATCGAAGTCAAGGGGTAAGGTGTAGTCAGCTTCCCCGCTCACTTTCCAGCACCGGGCAGGTGTCAGACTCTATACATCGTGTTACCACTTAGCAGAGTCCTGTGTTTTTAATAAACAGTCGCTACCCCCTGGTATGTGCCGCTTTCCTAATCAAAAGATAGGAGAGCGGGGATCATGAAGATTGAAACTATTCATGCAGTTTACTGTTAAGGACACTATCGATTTACTGTGATATGTCTACAGTCAAAAGCTAGTACTTTATGGGTAGCATCTTTAGGGACTCAGAGATCAGGAAAACTTGATAGAAAGCCCTAGCTCTAACTTGATAGAATGCCCCAGCAATGGCCATCGGAGAGGTCCAACGTAATTTATTACTCTTATAAAAGAGGGAACTCGACTGAAAGGAGAGGAGATAAATTCCATTTACAGGCTTTCTACCAATGACCGGAGATTTTGTTCTGTGGATTTGTCGCAGATGGCGAACATATTATTCTTGGATCAGCCTATTGGAGTTGGCTTCTCCTACAAAAAAACTCCAAATCTTGATAAATCAAGTGACACAATAGAAGTATTGCGGATTTACGAATTTCTTCAGAAGGTGAAATATGTCTTTGGAAGTATGTCTTTGTGCTAGTCATAGAAATTTAATTTGTGTGTTTCTTTTTGGGTGCATTGTTGTTGAGCAGTGGCTAGGTGAACATCCTGAGTTTTTCTCCAACACTTTTTATGTAGGCGGAGATTCTTATTCCGGTAAGATTGTTCCAGCTATCGTTGATAAAATCTCACAAGGTATGGTTTTGTGATCATATAAATGATTAATCTTCATTATAGTTTTTAAAGTCTTGTTTTTTACTCAATTACTTCCTACTTTATAACAATATATAAATATGATGATGCAGAAAATTATTTATGCTGCAAACCTCCAATAAATCTTCAGGTCACTGATTCTTACTGCTTCTTAAGTATTATACATATATATGGAACATAAAAAGCTGATTAGTTTATATTTCTTACTTAAAACAGGGTTATGTTCTCGGAAACCCAATATCAAATTACGAATCTGATTTTAACTATCGTATTCCATATGCTCATGGAATGGCATTAATCTCGGATAAACTCTACAAAGTATGAAATCGTCCCCATATAGCTCCTTGATTACCATATATATGTGATGCTTTCGTTTCTTGTCACCACAATGAACTATTATTTCACAGTCCCTGAAGAGAAACTGCAAAGGAAGATATAATATCGTGGATCCATCTAACACAAAATGTTTGAAACTTGTTGAAGAGTACCATAAGGTACATATTCTGATATTTGGTCTATGTTTTTGTATTTTTTCTTGGTAATAAATATCATCACTGATTTTTGATTTATTTAACTTATCATAACTGACTGAGTCAAAAAATTTTAAATTATTTTCAGTGCACTGATAAAATCTTTAGAGAACTAATATTATTACCACAGTGCGATGAAAGATCTCCACTTTGCTGGGTAAGTAATCCATCTCATCTTATTGAAGAATTGTTATGACAATCCAAAAATATCATGCTTGAAAGAAAACTGGTGTATCAGTATCAGGGTCAAAAACAATATTGTTATATTTTTTTGTTGTGAAATGTAAAATACATTAGTATTTACTATTTAACTACCAATTTTGTTTCAATTAAAATAAAAATCTAGAACTCTAATTAAAAACGGGAAAAAACAGTAATATATTTATACAAAGTTATGTATGAGCATGTGGTAGTTTTAATGGGTCAACATACTTTTAAATAAAATATCACACTGATGAATCATGAAAAGAATATCATTTTTTTTGTTAAATTTCAATTTTAGATATTTTTTTTAATCTTTACAAGCTTACTTATTCAGGGGTACCACAGTACACTAGCTACATATTGGGCCAATAACGAGAGGGTTCGTGAAGCTCTTCAAATCAGGAAGGTATATGATATTAATTTTGTCGAAGGAAATAATAACGTCGATATCATTTAAAGATCATTGACATATTGTCTTTTGAGAGCATATGAAAAGTTAATACTATATGTTCAACTATTACTTGTATATAAAATCAGTTAATATGAATTTATTGATATTAAAATTCAACAAACAAAATGAAAATGGACTGGATATCTTCTATATATGATTACAGGGAAGTATAGGAAAATGGATACGATGTAATACGAATATTGATTACGATGACGACATTATTAGCAGCATACCATATCATATGAATAACAGCATCAACGGATACCGATCTCTTATTTACAGGTTTGAGTTAAAATTACATTTTCAAGAACTGATCTAGTTCTCTATACAAACTTTATGAGGTTTTTGGTTAATAGTGGTGATCACGATATGGAGGTACCTTTCCTTGCAACTGAAGCTTGGATAAGATCTCTCAATTATCCTATCATTGATGATTGGAGGCCTTGGATAATAAACAATCAGATTGCTGGGTAAAATAATTTTGACGTTTTAATTTTTGCTTCTTTATTCGTTTTCTCATTACTCATCTTGAAATCGCTCTTACAATTTTCTTGGACAGATACACGATGACCTATGCCAATAAGATGACATATGCTACTATCAAAGCAAGTTTTTTTCTTTTCCTACTCTAAGGTTTTTATTAGACAAATCATTTTGTTTTTCACTAACATTTTTGAGGGTTTTATATATTATAGGGAGGTGGGCACACTGCAGAGTATAAACCAGAGGAGAGCTTTATCATGTTCCAAAGATGGATAAGTGGCCAACCTCTGTAATAAGAGATGATGGCCTTTTGCCAATAAAAAAGGAAAGCATGTAGCATCAAGTTTGATATATATCTTTATTAATCATTTTAATCTACTATATAGTAAAAGAAGATAATTTTAAAAAAGATTTTATGTATTTTGTACCTCTCTCTATTTTTATTTTTTTTGAAATTTTAACAAAACATGATCAACAAAGGAGTTTATGTACAAGTGAAAATTAAGATGTAAGTTGTAGAAAATAATAACTGACTAGAGACGAAAAGGCCATGGTACAAGCGCAAACGAGTTCAAATCTAATCGTTACATCAATCATGGCAAATACTCATTTAAGAAGAGTCAATTTATTTATTAGCCGTTTTGATCCACAAATATGCTCTAAAATAGTAATCTGTTTTTTATGTTTCCGTTTTTTTGTTGTCATCTGAAATTTTATTAATAAACTTGTTGTAGAACCGTGGTAGGATACAACTCTCAAACAAAGAAGTAAAGCTGACGGACAAAGTAAAATCCTTGGAAACAAAGCTGAAGGAAAACGACATTTCCCCAGAAACTAGCTAGGTCTTATGAAAGGAAACTAAAAACACAAAACAAAAAATAACTCAAAGCCAGCAACGTATGAGGACGAACACTTACACAAAAAACAGAAGCAACAAGGTAAATCAAAATAAACACATTAGACTTAAGAAGCAAGAAGACCTCTTCATTTGTAGCACCTGCATATGAGATTTACCACGGCTGCCCACGGTCAACCCGAAGATAACATCAACTTCTTCCTATCATGATGAGAGTTGATCTCTCGTACAAAACCAAAGACTTCATAACCCGACAAGCAGGACCACTAGAGAAACTCGAACACGCTTCCGGATCCGACGACGGCGACCAATGCGCCCATTAACCATTAACGTCTAGGTAGAAGCCTTTAAGACGCCATCATATCCAAACCAATCTGAAAAGCATGGACAAAGGGTGAAGCCTAACCTCTCGACATACACAGAACTCAAGCGAGCACAACGAATGATCAAGATAACTACCAATAACAACGAGAAATACCATGAAGAAGAGACAAGTGCACACTTTGAAGACTAACACATCAACAATCAAAACGAAACCTCTGCTAAAGAAGGGAGCGAACCATATGGAAACCAAGGGCTGAAGCGAGTAGATAAAGAACAAAAGAATATTTTCTTTTTATACAGTTGACAAAAACTAAAAATATTACGCAATAAATTATTATACAAATAATGTAAATTAAAAGAAAAAGGTAAGAATATAAGATAACTTAACTATTCACTAGGTGAATACCCACACTACCTGTGAGTTATTGTTTTGAAAATTGTTAAAAAAGAATTATTTTGACTATTCTTATTTCTAGTTTATGTTCATTTTTATATGTTATTATGTCGTTAATAAAGTTAGATCCATCTTATGTTCTTCTAACATTTATGTTTAGATTCATCTTTCATTGGAAATATCAATTATATTTTTTTTATGTATAAATTTGATTATTTATATATCTAGGACCTTAATTTTTTTTCCTTGTCATGAATACATATAACAATAGGATATACTGATTCAATAGTATGTAATTATGTTACTTATGTGTTTTAAAATTTGTCTAATTTGATAATAATAAAAAAACAATTATTTGTTTCATGTACTCTCCTACCTAAGCCTATCATGATGTCGCTAGAGTTTTCATATGTAAAGAGAAAACAGAAAGCAAAAATTGATGAGTCATTTAATTCAACAATTTTAGATCTATCCCTTGATATAGTCATATATGAGAGAGTGCCATGTCTTGAATTCTTTGGTTTGTCTAACGTCTCAAATATCCATTACTTCAAAAACTTGCATGTCAATATTACCAACTTACCATAAGATACAAAAATGAAAAGAGAAAACTATATGATAAAACGTATATGGTCCACAAAAAGTAATAATAAGAAAAGACTCAAGGTAAAATTACTAAACTAATAAGAGGTAAGGTAGCAAACAATTAAATTACAACATAAGTAAATTTCAGCCATGATCGAGTAATGAGTAATGACCATTGATGAAAATAATTAGTAAAATAAGAAGAGTAGAATGAAAGTAGTGTTTGATACATCCTCAATATTAAAAGAAAGTTTTTGGTGTTTATGTGTTAAGCCCACAATTACTTTCATTTTTTTTCACTAGGTGATCATCCGTGATACGCTGCTGGTTTCGGTTTTTTTTTTGTTTTTATTTATTTAATATGATGTTTTAATAAATATAATCTTTTAATTTTCTAATCATTTACTCATGGAATCATCAACTACTTTTAGTGTTAAAATAATTTTTCTAGCAACCTTCTCGAGAACCTTAATTAACAATGTATCATTCATACAATCCAGAAACAATTTGCGTTGTAACCCAATTTTATAGATAGTAATGTTAGGATTATTAGGATTATATAAACCTCAAGAATTTGATGATTGAGTTCTTTTTATATACTCTTTACTCTCTGTATTATATTATTTAGATATAGATTAATGAGAATAACTTACTCAAACTATTAGCTACTTGACTATACTAATATCTATTCATATTTTAAGTTAAGACTACAAAAGATTAGCAGAGAAACTTCAAACGAGTATATAATATAGACAATTAATAATTTATGAATGTAGACTTTGCATTAGCTATTTAGTGAACACGTAGTAAACGCTGGAATGATGCTCTGATACTTAGAGAGAGTGAGCCAACTTACATAAGATTTTGAATTTATGTCGAAACGATATAGGGTCTGAATGGAAGTGCGGTTTGGCTCCGATGCGGTGACCCTAATCACATGGTCACCAACGAATGGATCTCCGATTTCATAGTGAGGTGTTTCAAAAGCGTGGAGGGTGCGATGGTTTCTATGAAAATTGAAAGTACTGCAAATCACACCTAAAAGCTCCGTTTGTGGTGCGGCAAGGTTACATAAACTTGTCATTTTACAATTTTGTCCCTATCTATTTTCCACATAAAATCATTTTGTCTAGGAAAAAACGGAATAGTATTTTTAGCAATAAAATTGAAAATCATGTTTGTTTTACGGAAAAACGGAAAATTACGTTTTTGGCAGAAAAACACGGGTTTACGGCGATGGCGAGAAAACACGGAATCACGTTTTTGGCGGAAAAACGGAAAATCATTTTTTTTGACGAAATCACGTTTTTGGCGAGAAAACGCGAGATCAAATTTTTGGCGGGAAAACAGGGAATCCTTTTTTTTACGGAAAAACGCGGGATCACGTTTTGGCGGAAAAAGAGGGAATCACGTTTTTGGCGGGAAAACACGGAATCATGTTTTTGGCGAGAAAACGCGAGATTACGTTTTTGGCGGGAAAACGCGGGATCATATTTTGGTGGGGAAACGCGGGATTATATTTTTGGCGGGAGAACGCGGGATTATATTTTTGGCGGGAAAACGCGGGATCATATTTATGACGGGAAAATGCGGGATCAGATTTTTGGCGGAAAAAGACGGAATCACGTTTTGGCGGGAAAACGGAGAATCAAGTTATTGACGAAATCACGTTTTTGGCGGGAAAATGCGGGATCACGTTTTTGGCGGGAAAACGCGGGATCATGTTTTTGACGGGAAAACGGAGAATCACATTTTTGAAGAAATCACGTTTTTGACGGAAAAACACGGAATCACGTTTTGGCGGGAAAACAAAAATTCACATTTTAGACGAAATCATGCTTTTTGGGAGAATAACAAAATCATAGAATGTAAAGAAAACGTGAAATTACTTTTTTGGCGGGAGAACACGAAATCGTATTTCTAGCAGAAAATACATCAAATAAATAATTAAAGCATTAATAACGATAATAATATCACCAATACCCTTTTTAGTAATTTTGTCATCTAATCGCACCCAAATCGGTTTCTCATTCGGAAAAAATATGATAACGGATCATAGCCGAATCACATTACCATTCATAAATATGATTAATCACACATCATCCAAACTACATCGTTACCTCACTCAAATCGGAGTCGCAACTAAATCGGAGTACCATTCGGAGCCATATACATAAGAGAGTCGGTGAGTAAAATAAATGATATGACGTGGAGCGACTAGTGACCTCGCATTTCACAAAACGTGACGAAACCTCTATTATTGGTAAGAGGACTCAATCTTTAGAAACTAAGAGAGAATGAAATTAACACTAAAATTGCTGCTTCTGCTTCTGGTTATCTTGAATCAACATGTTGATTCTGGCTCTATCGTCAAGTTTCTTCCCGGCTTTGAAGGCCCTCTTCCTTTCGAACTCGAAACCGGGTTTGTTAAATCTCTCTTTTGAATACAATTATGTTTTGATTTTGGAGTTAGTAATTAGTCATTCTTTTGAATGAAGGTACATTGGTATTGGTGAGGAAGAGGAATCGCAGTTGTTTTACTATTTCATCAAATCTGAGAACAATCCAAAGGAAGACCCTCTTCTTCTCTGGTTAAATGGAGGACCTGGATGTTCTTCTATCACTGGCCTTTTTTTCGAGAATGGTAAATCTATATATTTTGTTTCCTATTGCTCTAAGGATTATTTTCAAAGGCTTGGTTAAAGTGGGTTAAGAAAATATTAAGAGCTGTGGTTTTCTTTATTTCTTAGGACCTCTGGCTTTGAAGTTAGAGGTTTACAATGGAAGTGTCCCTTCTTTGGTCTCTACTACATATTCGTGGACAAAGGTAGAAGAAAGTATATATGTTCATATGTTAGTAAAAAAACCAGTGATCTATCAAATTTTGTTGATTATTTTGTCAGATGGCGAACATAATATTTTTGGATCAGCCTGTTGGAACTGGCTTCTCCTACTCACGAACCCCACTTATTGATAAGCCTAGTGACACAAGCGAAGTTAAGAGGATCCGTGAGTTTCTTCAAAAGGTAAAAGACAAACATAATTTGATATCTTAAAGCATTTGTCTTTTTGCATTAACGCTTTTTTGTGTGTTGTAATACGTGTAAACTTATACTTCTTTCATTTTATACTAAATATCGATTAAGAAAAACAATTAAATTATATGTTTTACTTTGGTCAATATATACAAAACTTTTCAGTAGTCAATATTTTAACTTCATAGTCTCAATTACTTTCCAATTTAGTCAAGCTTAACTCATTTATTTAAACAGCAACCTTAAGAGTCTTTTTTTTTCAGTGGCTAAACAAGCATCCACAGTTTTCTTCCAACCCTTTTTATGCTAGCGGAGATTCTTATTCCGGTATGATTGTTCCAGCCCTCGTTCAAGAAATCTCTAAAGGTATCCTCATTTACTTTTTCTTTGAATATCGTTTAACCGTGCTCTTTAAAATAACATACACTAGCTATGATGCAGGAAATTATATATGTTGCAACCCTCCTATAAATCTACAGGTCATTGATATTGAATTGCTCCTTGTAATTTCGTAAGAGTATTAATTTTTAAAAAGTTCTTATCAAATAATATTATTAGGAAATTGTTTTGTACACTAGAAATTGATAGTTATGTGCGGACAAAAAAAAAGATTTTTTTTGTTAAGTTGATAATTATATATATTCTTATCAAAAACAGGGTTATATACTCGGGAACCCGATAACATATTTTGAAGAAGACCGAAACTATCGCGTTCCATATTCTCATGGAATGGCACTAATTTCAGATGAACTATACGAGGTATGAAATCTAGGGCATGCTTAATTAGTTAAATTTCTTTATTAGAGAGTTTTATATTCGACGAGTCTAGTTAACCTTGAGATTTTTCAAAACTCTAAATGATATAAAGTTTGATGTTTAAAACATTTGTTTTTCTTGTTTCAACAGTCAATTAGGAGAGCCTGCAACGGAAATTATTTCAATGTGGATCAACGTAACACAAAATGTTTGAAAGTTGTTGAAGAATACCATAAGGTACACACTTTCAAATATAGTCGATGTTCAGTAATTTATCATATGGTGATCATCTGATTCAGATGATTTTATTTTTTATATGTACAGTGTACCGACAAACTAAATAGATTCCATATAATATCACCAGATTGCGACATAACATCTCCTGATTGCTTTGTAAGTAATACTCCCTCTCTTCCTAAAAAGGTTAATGTTCTAGAGTTTTCACATATATTAAAAAACAATCATTGTTTACTTATTTGTCAATTACTTTTTTAAATTAATATTTTTTAATTACTTTGAACCAATAGTAATATCAATGCGTCTTGAAGTTCACAATATATTAATATCAATCAATAAAAAATAAAATGAAATTCTGAAACATCAGTGGAACAAACTAAAAAGTTAACATCAAACGTATAAGAACAGAGGGAGTACATCTTTTCTCCATCAATTGACCCTTTTAAAAGGGAAAATTTATCTGATGTGATCAAAAATCAAAGATAATTATTTTTTATTTGGACGTTTTAATAACCCAATTATTTTTATTTCCGAATTGTATAATTATTTAATATTTGTTATGGAGAAAATATATACAAATTTACACAAAATATATGATGAAATTTTTAATCAAACCAAGCAAAATTTGTAACCAAAATTAGTAGATTGTACAATCAATTTTCAACGAAGAATCTAATAAAAATGGATTAATCCATATGCAAATGACGTGTGAACATATGCTTATTTTGTCAAAGGCGCCAATGTGATTTTTATATTACTTTCAAATCGAGTAAACACACTTTTAAGGTTGCTTTTTGCAGTTATATCCATATTATCTCCTTAGCTACTGGGCCAACGACGAGAGCGTTCGTGATGCTCTTCATGTTAATAAGGTATACGCCAAGTTTATATTAAGATCATTGATATAAGTGTGATGATAATAAAGAAAAAAAAATTAAAATCTAAACTATGGACGATTTATGATTACAGTGGAGTATAGGAGAATGGGTGCGATGTAATCGGAGTAAACCATACAACAAGGACATCAAGAGCAGCGTACCATACCATATGTATAACAGTATTAATGGCTACCGATCTCTCATCTACAGGTAAGAGTTAGATACTTAATAAATCTAAAACTTTAAGAACCTGATCAAAATTTCATAATCAGAGACATCAAGCCAAACCAAATTAAATCATACCGAAATTTGTTCTTACTTTACTTTTAAACCCGAAAAAAGGAATTTGAAACTGGTTTAGTGAATTGAAAACGAATAAACAAGAATTTATTAAATTTTTAGGCATATCCATATTACGTAAAAACAAAAGTTACTATAATTATTATGTAAGTATATTTCGGAATTATTTTTCTAAAAACAACCAAACCAAATGGAAACCAATAACCTTAATCTATAGTGTCCATTCCTACCTAAAAAAGTTTTTTTTTTTTTTTTTTTTTTTTTTTTTTTTTTTTGCGAAAACCTACCTACAAAATTTAAGAGATAATTTTGTGCGGTTTATGGTGAACAGTGGTGATCATGATTTGGTGGTTCCTTTCCTCGCAACTCAAGCCTGGATAAAATCTCTAAATTACTCCATCATTCATGACTGGAGACCTTGGATGATTAAAGATCAAATCGCTGGGTAATATATATAGTTGTGTTTTAGGTTTCCCTTGTTCATTCATTTCCTCATCGTATCGCAATCTTATAAAGCTCCCGTAAAAATCATTCATGCCATTTTTTTTCTTGACAGATACACAAGAACTTATTCCAATAAGATGACTTTTGCTACTGTCAAAGCAAGTCTTCTTGTTTCACTTTAACATTTTTATAAGTCATTCCATTAAATCAAAAATATTTTCTAATTGTTTTGAGCGTTTTGATTATAGGGAGGTGGGCACACAGTAGAGAATAAACCAAATGAGAGTTTTATCATGGTTCAAAGGTGGATTAATGGCCAACCTTTGTAAAAAGGCTCATGGCCTTTTAAGTATAAAAAATAAGAATATGTATCATGAACTGTTTGTATACATTACAATTATCTACTATGTGAGTTATTTGTTCGGATCCAGAGGAGGTTTAGAACTCTCTCCCCACAAGTTCGACATGCTTGGGAGGGAGATAGTTACCAATAAATGAGGTATTATTAAAGGAGACTACAGGCCAAAGACTTGGCACTTCTTGGTTAACAAAAAACCAAACTAATAAATATAGTCGTTGGTGGTTAGGTAACATGTTTGTGTTATTCATGTAGTTTAACATTTTTTCTTTTTATCTTTAATTAATTGTGTTATTTTAATTTTGTTGTTAGGGGTTCAAAAGTAAACAGAACTTTCACAGCAACAATATACCACTACAAATTAATTGTCTAGTGCTTTTATCTTTGCATTTAGTATCGCTTTTAGAGGATTGGATTTGATAATCATATCAATTTTTAGGTAAAGATGTGGCGAGGATAAGAACAAAACAATAAGCCATAAAACCAACGTCCCTACCTTATACATTATTCATGCTGTTGCAACACTATAAAATATCTATTTTCATAACTCAAAATGGTTGCTCCACAAAAAGATATTTTGTCGATCGACTTTTGTAATTATAAAGATCTTTTGTTTCCCCAAACAATGACTAAATTTTTAGAAACTAAAAGAAAATGAGCTTCACACTAAAGTTTCTGCTACTTCTGCGTCTACTTGTCTTGAGTCACCATGCTCATTCTGGCTCTATAGTCAAATTTCTTCCTGGTTTTGAAGGCCCTCTTCCTTTCGAACTCGAAACCGGGTTTGTAAAATCTCTCTTCTTTTTCAGCAATTCAATTATGTGTTTGGTTTCGAGTTACTAATTAGTGATTTTCTCTAAATGAAGGTACATTGGTATTGGTGAGGAAGAGGAAGTGCAATTGTTCTACTATTTCATCAAATCTGAGAAAAATCCAAAAGAAGACCCTCTTCTTCTATGGTTAACTGGAGGGCCTGGATGTTCCTCTCTCACTGGCCTTCTTTTTGAGAATGGTATATCTATAATATTTCGCTAAGCATTATTTGAGTGACTTGTTTAAAGCTGGGGGAAATAATAGGACCGGTGGCTTTGAAGTTTGAGGTTTACAATGGAAGTGTTCCATCTTTGGTCCCTACTACATATTCATGGACTAAGGTAAAAGTATGTTCAAATGTCGATCACAAAGCCAATTATCTATTCTTGATCTTTTTAAGATGGACCATTTTTTTTTAGATGGCGAACATAATATTCTTGGATCAGCCAGTTGGAGCTGGCTTCTCCTATTCAAGAACTCCACTTGTTGATAAAATTAGTGACACGGGTGAAGTTAAAAGGATCTATGAGTTTCTTCAAAAGGTATTAAGAAAACCTTAATTTTCTTGTTAAAGCATATTTCTTTTTTTTTGTGCATTAAGCTCTTGTGTATGTTGTAATTCTCTTAGTAATCCAACTGATTGCTAGTGGATTCGGAGACTGATCTCGGCCAGATATAGATTTAATATATAACACTGATCATTGTCAAGATATTCAAACAAGGTTTTAAACGATTGAGGTGTTTATCGGTATCTTGGGGTTAGCTCATTAATCGAGAGTCTATCTTTTGTTTTGTGCAGTGGTTAAGCAAACATCAACAATTTTTTTCCAATCCTTTTTATGTTGGCGGAGATTCTTATTCCGGTATGGTTGTTCCCGCCCTAGTTCAAGAAATTGCAAAAGGTATTTTTCTTTAATCATATCAATCAATCCCTATATATTTTACTTTGAATATCGTTTATTTATCTGTGTCTCATTTATTAACAATATATGATGCAGGAAATTATCAAATAAATCTACAGGTTGTGTATATTTATTTGTTTCTTATATTATGTTACTTTAAAAAAACATTGCGATTAATATATTCTTACGAAAATAGGGTTATATCCTCGGAAATCCGATAACAGATACTGAATCTGAACAGAACTATCAGATTCCATATGCTCATGGAATGGCATTAATCTCTGATGAACTATACGAGGTATGAAATATTGCTTAAGTTTTATATTTGGCCAGACTTGAGTTAACAAACAAGTCACCCCTACCCTTACCGATTTCAAAGCCTAAATGATATAACAATGTTTCAAACTTTTTTTAACAGTCAATGAAGAGAATCTGCAAAGAAAATTATGTGAATGTGGATTCACTTAACACAAAATGCTATAAACTCATCAAAGATTATCAAAAGGTACATATTACGGAATGTCGTTGTTATTGATCAGTACTCTATTTGAAAATGATCATCACTAATTCAGATTTCTTGGGTTATTTTCAGTGTATTCATAAGCTGAATAAGTATCATATATTATTACCTGACTGCGATATAACATCTCCTGATTGCTTTGTAAGTGATACATCTCTCCTTCATCTAGTGACCCATATGAAAGGGTTGGGGGAAAAAATATCCATTTTTATGATATTTCGAAAAAAAGACATATTAACAAGGTTGCTTTTGCAGTTATATAGGTATTCTCTCATGACCTTTTGGGCCAACGACAAGAGCGTTCGCGGAGCTCTGCAAGTCACTAAGGTATATACCAATTTTAGTTTAAGACCAAAAGTGATCTATGATTTTAGAGGAGTCTAGGTAAAATGGGTTCGATGTTTTATAATAACTAGTATTGGTAGATTATATTATATAGTCGAGTTTAAAATATTTTTGGGGTCAGTAGGATTTACAATTTCAAAAATCAAAAATCATCTAAAAGTTCCATAATCTGGTGAAAACAAACAGGTGTCTTTTACTTTCAAAACCAAACTAGCATCATATGATTTTTACCAGTGTTATAAGGGATAGAAACTGAGTTTCAATAATAGGAATATGTCATATAAGTTTGTGTCGTAACCAAAAGTGTCGAAAGCTCGTGTAAATAGGAGTCCATCGGTTAAATAAGTGTGATGATATAAATAAATTTTAAGATCTTAATGAAGATCTAAAATTGTAGGGAAGTATAGGAGAATGGGTGCAATGTAACTATAAAAATATTTCGTACAATTACGACATCAAGAACAGTGTCGCATACCATATGAAGAATAGTATTGATGGCTACCGATCTCTTATCTACAAGTAAGTGTTAAATCTAAGTTTTTTAAGAACTGATCTTGTTCAATAATACACAACCACAAGTAGGATGGGCAAATGTTTCAAAACCAGACATATCGAATTGAATTGAATTCACCAGAATTTTCTTATAAAAGAAAATCCGAAATAGATTGTAGTGTACACCAAACTGAAACAAAAACAACCAAAATTTATTAGAACTATATTTTTGTTTTTTTATATATATACATAGTAAATATAACATATGCATATTACGTAAATAGGATTTTTAAAACTCGGTGTTTATTTATAGTTTGAAAAATAATATGTCAAATTCAAATCAAAACCTCAGCCAAACCGGATTACAAATCGTTTTTATTTTTCAGTTTTAATAAAACCGGGAATTAACGAAAAAAAATCAAACCGAAGTAAAATCATGAACCTAACTTGCCCACTCCTACCAACTTGGTTCAAGAGATTATAACATTTGTGCGGTTTATGGTAATCAGTGGTGACCATGATATGATGGTGCCTTTCCTTGCAACTCAAGCCTGGATAAGTTCTCTCAATTATTCAATCACTGATGATTGGAGGCCTTGGATGATAAACGATCAAATCGCTGGGTATATATATTTTTGTTATAGCTAGGTTTCTCTTGTTCATTCATTTTCCAGTCGTATCACAAACTTATCACACGTAAAAAATCATGTTTGCCTTTTTCTTGACAGATACACAAGAACTTATTCCAATAAGATGACATTTGCTACTATCAAGGCAAGTCTTCTTGTTTCAACTAAACATTTTTATTTCATTGCACTGCAATAAAATTATGTTTTTAATTAATTGTTTGGAGTATATTCTTTTTTTATTTTTTTTGTTAAAGGGAAGTGGACACACGGCAGAGTATAAACCAAAAGAGACTTCTATCATGTTCAAAAGATGGATCAGTGGCCAGCCTTTATAATAGAGGATCATGGCCTTTACGTGTGAAGAATTAAAAAATGTAACATGAAAAAGTTTGTGTACAAATACAATATAGTCATCTACTTGGTAAGTACCACCGCTATTTTTAACCTATGACTGAACTATAACTGAAGTAATTTCGGTTGCGTTTGATTCAAACAAAATTCATTGTACAACTCGTGAGATAGGTATACGTAGGTTCATGTTGTACTAACAAGCAAAATCACGACGACGTCAATATGTAAATGCAAGATATATATATGCACTTTAAATTTTGTTATAAGATCTTGGGATGTGGTCTAGATTCTCATCGTATGAGCCTAATGATTTTAAGATTGAAAGAATCGACGAATTGGATTTAATTTGTACAAAAGAGATCTCTTTAGAGATGTGTTTTATTAAGATTGATATGTCTTTCTTCATGTCTCCCCTTCTCGTTTAAATGAAAGGACAAATTAAGGTTTTCTTAATACCTTTTGAAGAAACTCATAGATCCTTTTAACTTCACCCGTGTCACTAATTTTATCAACAAGTGGAGTTCTTGAATAGGAGAAGCCAGCTCCAACTGGCTGATCCAAGAATATTATGTTCGCCATCTAAAAAAAAATGGTCCATCTTAAAAAGATCATAGATAATTGGCTTTGTGATCGACATTTGAACATACTTTTACCTTAGTCCATGAATATGTAGTAGAGACCAAAGATGGAACACTTCCATTGTAAACCTCAAACTTCAAAGCCACGGGTCCTATTATTTCCCCCAGCTTTAAACAAGTCACTCAAATAATGCTTAGCGAAATATAATAGATATACCATTCTCAAAAAGAAGGCCAGTGAGAGAGGAACATCCAGGCCCTCCAGTTAACCATAGAAGAAGAGGGTCTTCTTTTGGATTTTTCTCAGATATGATGAAATAGTAGAACAATTGCACTTCCTCTTCCTCACCAATACCAATGTACCTTCATTCAGAAAAAATCCCTAATTAGTAACTCGAAACCAAATACATAATTTGTTTAAAATACATTGTCAACTACTTCTAGTTTTGGTAATTTGTTTAAAATTTTCTTAATGTTGACGAGAACATTTTGGTCATTTTGGTTACAAATTATGTGGTAATCAACGTCCGTACCTTATCATTAATGATGTCGGTGGACTATTCCCAAAGTTTTGCCGAGAAACGCAACTCCCGTGACTTCTCATTACTTATCTTATTTTAAATTTGTGGATAAGTGTAATGACATATATAGAGAAAGCAACATATATGATAGGGATTGACAAAACCAATTCGAAATGGTTGCTCCACACAAACCAAAATCTGAGAAGGGCCTACTCAACGATATTCAGATCTGTTTTTTTTTGTGTGGCTGCATTGAGAATATTATTCATAACACTTCCTGGATTTTGCCATACAATCATGACAATAAAAGCAGTGTACCATACCATCTAAATAACAGCATTAATGGCTATTGATCTCTTAGTGTTAGGTTAGAGGTAGATCTACGTTTTAAGAACTGATAAATCTTGTCCCTATTCAACAATAATTAGGGGTGGACGAAATATTTTCGTAACAAGAGAAATCGAACCAAACCAAATTGAATCAAACAGAATGAAACCAAATATGTTTGTAAACCAGTGATTGATAGCTCGACTAGAAACGTATCATGGAAAATTCCAAAAGGTCACATGATCGATTGGCAGCTGCTACGGATAAAAATATTAAAGGCTGACCCATACCTAAAGAGATGTATGTATTTAGCCTCGGAAATTTCTAGTTTACAAAAAAAAAAAAAAGCTTAGTTATTTAATCGCTTGCCTGTTTGTTTTCTGAAGTTTAATTTATACAACAAACATTGATATATATGCGCATTTTCATGTTCTATTTCGTTAATCCGGTTTCCGTAAAGCTATAACCAAACTCTTACCAAAGTACTTTCAGTTTGATTTATTTTTGTTTGATTCGGTTTACAATTCGTGAGAAAGGTATATGCAGGTTCATGACACAAAACATGACATAGTGATGATGGGATTAAAGTTTCCATTGCTAGTTAGATCAGCCAAACGCTTCAACCACAAACTATTTGTGGCCAAGAGGATGTCACAAAGCCTCTTTATATCCATTCGGATGAATTTTTTATTATAAATTTGAAGCTCTTTAACAAGTAATGAAGAGCTCCAAAAAATGCATACATGGCTATTTTTTATCACTTAAGGATTTCACATAAACAACGTCCATGTACAGAATTCAGAATTCTACAGTACTCTTTGTTGGAGGCAGCGACACATGCTTTTGGCTTTTCACCAAGTGTATCAAAATTGGTATAAACTAGAAGTAGTTGACAATGTATTTTAAACAAATTATTTCAACAGTGTAATGGGACAATACACTTGTAACATTTCAAACAATGAAGTAACAACACAACAAACATAATATTTTCCTTTGGTCTTGAGAGCATCAATTCCAGGTATCATCTTTTCCTCATACTCATATCAGGACAACCAAGATTCTCTATTTAAATATACAAGCATAATGTGTAAGAGAAAAGGTTATCCAGAAACAACAACTCTAAATCTAATCACAAGTAAAATTTGGCATGGCCTCCATAGAAGAAAGCAAGAATGCTTCATGTCACTATTGCGTCAAAGGCACATAAGTTAGTTAAAAACAAAAAGAAGAAGATAATGTCAAACACATAAGTGTACAGATTTGATGCCATGCTTCATGTCATTATTGCATTTTGCTTCCCTCATAACTATAATAAAGACCAAGAAAGAAACAAATTGTCAGCCAAGCAAATCACAAAAGAAAACTCGAAATCAAACAATTGGTTTGAATCGTAACAAAAGAGAAACGAAGAACAGTTGGCTCTTAACAAAAAAACATGTTGATCAAACAAACGTCGAGCAAACGGCTCGTAATCAACTAAACAAAAAGATGAATCCGATCTTTTGATCGGATTCAACTATGTCAAAGAACATGCCGTAAAGAAAAGACAACTAATTAGGGTTTAAGCTCTGATACCATGTCAAAGTACGAGCGGAATCAATTTTTGTTATTAAATCAATGATTTACATATATATATAACTATTTTTATTAGGTTTTATATGACATAATCTACCTCATATCTCAATATTAGATCCTTCTATTACGGTTGATTAAAAGAAAAAGAAAAAACATACACAAAAAGTTACTTTACTATACCAAAGACGTTACTTTAATGAAACTCTAATAACAAAAAATTGTAATTAACAAAAAAAAACTCTAATAACAAAAAACAAAACTTGTGAAGCAATCGCAGTCCTCACATGTTAAAATGAAAAAAGAGCCTTTATATTAAAGTTTTAGTAGTGTATTTGGCAGTAATCGTTTTTTCAAGATTCATAAATAGTCTATGAGTATGACTATGAGGTCCATTATTTGCATGTTTGTCTTTCTTACTATGCCATTATATATATGGCTAACTATTGATTAACCAAGTAAACAAAATACATTTTAAATAAGGACAATTCTCACAAATAACACAAATACTATATAAAACTTGTTTTAATGCTATTTTAAAGTATTTCTCTTAAACAATCTAACTATAGCTTTGATTTATTAACCATATACCATTGTGGTACATGATATACCACTTTAACAGTTACCAATCACAAAAATGTTACCAAAAACGTTATTCTCAGCTTTTTTCCAGCTTTTTTGTATCACTCTTTCTTATAGTTTTGTACTATTCCGTAAAAACTTACCGTACTAGCTTACAACAAAAAAATTTGTACAATTTTGTGTTACCAATCGAATCCTATGTTTACTTATAAAATAGACAAATTAGTAAGTTTATTATTTGTTAGCTATATTAATAAATAGAAATACCATTTTAATAATGTTTGCTTGGGTCCCACCAAAATTTTGGATCACCCAAGTGTAAAGGGATATGAACAAAATCAAGAGCAGTAAAAGCAACGTCCCTACCTTATCCATGTGGTGTCAATATTTTGCAAAAGCAATGTACCTATACTATCATTATTTTATAAAGATCCTATGTCTTTCCCTAAACGGACTAATCTTTAGACAAAGAGAATTCAGAATATAATGAGATTGAAAATAAAGTTTCTGCTTCTGCTTCTACTTGTCTTCTGTCATCATGTTGATTGTGCCTCTATTGTCAAGTTTCTTCCTGGTTTTGAAGGCCCTCTTCCTTTCGAACTTGAAACCGGGTTTGTAAAATGTCTTCTTTTTGTTTTAACCAATGCAATTATGTGTTATAATTAGGCATTCTTCTTAATGAAGGTACATTGGTATTGGTGAGGACGAGAATGTGCAATTTTTCTACTATTTCATCAAATCTGAGAACAATCCAAAGGAAGATCCTCTTCTCATATGGTTAAATGGAGGACCTGGATGTTCTTGTCTCGGTGGTATTCTTTTTGAGAACGGTAAATCTTATAATATTTTTTCTTTCGCTAAGCATTACTTTCACCAGACTTATTTAAAGAGGTAAAAAACAAAAACAAAATATAGGACCGGTGGGTTTGAAGTTCGAGGTGTACAATGGAAGTGCTCCTTCTTTGTTCTCTACTACATATTCATGGACAAAGGTAGCCGATAGTATGTTCATTTGTCTAAATATATTCTTCGGTCTCTTTAAATTTTGGATCATTTTCTCAGATGGCAAACATAATATTCTTGGATCAGCCAGTAGGATCTGGCTTCTCCTACTCAAAAACTCCAATTGATAAAACTGGTGATATAAGTGAAGTAAAGAGGACCCATGAGTTTCTTCAAAAGGTACCTTTTTAAAGCATTAAATTTTTCTCCTCTTTGCATTAAATTTCTTGTGTATGTTGTAATTCTCTTAGTGTAAAGTTATTGACTATAGTAATTTCCGGTTGGTTAGCTAGACTCGTTAAAACCCACCCATCTCATTTGATTTCCATGTGATCCAATCCAAGCTTTACACATTCTGATTTTTTTTATTTGAGCCAAGCGGTTTGGGTTTTATTGATATATTTTGCCAACGATTGTCTCATTGATTATAACATCAACATCTAGAGAGCATTTTTGTTTTGTTTTGTGTAGTGGCTAAGAAGGCATCCACAATACTTCTCCAACCCTTTTTATGTTGTCGGAGATTCTTATTCCGGTATGATTGTCCCGGCCCTCGTTCAAGAAATCTCACAAGGTATGTTTTTATCATATAAGTCCACTTTTCTTCGAATATCATTTAATCCATTTTGTCTACTTTTAAACAATATCCACACTACGATGCAGGAAACTATATATGTTGCGAACCTCCTATAAATCTACAGGTCATTGATATTTGATTGCTTCTTATATTATGCATACTTTTTCGAGCACTAAAAATTGATACTAATATATATTTTTTTTACCAAAACAAAAACAGGGTTATATGCTTGGAAACCCTGTAACATATATGGACTTTGAACAAAACTTCCGCATTCCATATGCTTATGGCATGGGTTTAATCTCTGATGAGATCTATGAGGTATGAAATATATGGCATGCTTATCTTGTCACTAGAGAGTTTTCTATTTGACGTACGTGACAAATCGAGTCCTTCTATGAGTTTTACTGTTAATTTTTCTTTTATAGCCAATGAAGAGAAGCTGCAACGGAAATTATTACAATGTGGATCCATCTAACACAAAATGTTTGAAATTTACTGAAGAATACCATAAGGTACACGCACTCAGAAATTTGGTCGATACTTTGTTTTTTATTGTTCATTACTAATTCCGATTTTTGTTTATTCACAGTGCACTGACAAAATAAATATCCATCATATATTAACACCAGATTGCGATGTAACCAATGTAACATCTCCTGATTGTTATGTAAGTAATACACCTTTCCTCCGAAATAAAATTTTTTGACAAATTTTGTAAACCTATTTATCATAAAATACATAAGCTTCTACCATCTTTTTAGTTATAAAAACTAAGAACCTACTAAAAATGGATGACTTTCAAATGTAAAACTATATTTTGACATTTTGAAAAAAAACTTGAAAAAAACACATATTTACAAGGTTCCTTTTGCAGTATTATCCGTATCATCTCATTGAATGTTGGGCCAACGATGAGAGTGTTCGTGAAGCTCTTCATATTAAAAAGGTATATGCCAAGTTTAAATTAAGATCATTCATAAAGTAAGCTGATATAAAGAGAGTTTCTAAATTTAAATTAAGGACGATCCATGATTACAGGGGAGTAAAGGAAAATGGGCGCGATGTAATCGGACTATTCCATACAATCACGACATCGAAAGCAGCATACCATATCACATGAATAACAGCATCAGTGGATACCGATCTCTTATTTATAGGTTTGAGTTAAACCTAAATCTTTTTTTTAAAAGCTGATTTTATACAACTACAAGTAGGATTGGGCAAAATTTTATAAGCTGAGAGATCCAACCAGGTGAAATTGAATCCAACCAAATATAAAACTTTCCCAAATGGTAGGTGTAAATAATGTTTTAGAACCCAAAAACAAATTAAAACCGAAACAAGATTTAATTAGTGTAATATAACCAAACTAAAATTTAATACTTTTAAGTTATATCCTTGTTTGAAATAGACACATACATTACATATCAAATTTGTACAAATTATTATAAATTTATATTTAATTATTTTTCAAACGACAAACGAATATATAGAGAGATTTTGTCAAACTGAACCAAAACCAAGCGGAGTTACATATGATTTTTGTTTGAATTTTGTTTCTGTAAAACCTAAAACCAAATGAATCATATCGAAAACAAAACCGTAAACTGAAATTTTATACAACTTGTGTGATTTATTGTGAACAGTGGTGATCATGACATTGCGGTCCCTTTTCTTGCAACTCAAGCCTGGATAAGATCTCTCAATTACTCCCCCATTCATAACTGGAGGCCTTGGATGATAAATAATCAAATTGCTGGGTAATATACACTATATATCTTTCTTGTTTTAGGTCTCTCTTGTATATTCATTTTGTAGTCATATCACAAACTTATGAACTTACGTAAATGTTTTTTTGTTACAGATACACGAGAGCTTATTCCAATAAGATGACATTTGCTACTATCAAAGTAAGTATATAGTTTCAACTTGACATTTTTCTTGGTCATTGCATACATTGAGAGTGTTTTTTAAAGTGTTTTGAGCATTTCGATTATAGGGAGGTGGACACACGGCAGAGTATAGACCAAACGAGACCTTTATCATGTTCCAAAGGTGGATTAGTGGCCAACCTCTGTAATAATGGCTCATGATCTTCACTTTATAAATTATCTACCAAGTAATATATCCACGTTAACCGCAGTTGTTTGTTGTGAAATGTTTTTGTTGTTTGATTTGTTGCATTTTTTGCGGGCAATGTTGCATTATGTGTTTTTGTGTACTCCAGATTATTATTGAGCGTTGTGAAAATTCCTTTTACATTTAATTTGGCTATTTAATAAAACATTTTGGTCACATGTTTAGTAGTGTTATGATCCTATTTACTTGGTATACATATTTTCTTAATCAATCCATAAAAACATTTGTAATTTAAATTACTTCTTGCCTACTTATATTGTAAAGTTTAGTTTATAGTCATATTGTGTTGATTTTAGGGGTGGGCAGATTCGATTTAGTTAATCCGGTTATTTCATTGTCATCCTAATTTCCCAACTTAAAAAAAATCTTTCTAATGTTAAAATCAACAATGAAATTACCAAACTTTCCATTTTAAATTCTTCCGAAACAAACAAAATACGAAATTATCACCCGTCAAAAGAGTTAACATACTTCTAGACTTTCTTAAAATTTCAAAAAATAAATGTAATACACTACTGTTAGTGGTGTTACAAACAGACGTTAGCGATTGATACAAGTTTTTTTCAATCTTAAAAAGTTTTATGTTCTGATGTAAAACTCATGATTTATTTTTATATGTCCTTCTAGGATTTTAGTAAGGTAAAAATCTTTTGTTTTGGTTTGTGTTCTTATGAACTATGTGTTTTTGGATATCATTTTTACCGACAAAAAAAACAAAAACCGTACAAAGGGACTAATCTCTCACAAGAACTCTCTCTCTTTCATGCCAAGGACCGGCTCAAAGTTTTCGCATAAAGTAGTAGAGGCACTTCATGTTGTTATGTTAATAGATACGGTTGTAAGAGGAAGCAGAATAATTTTTCTTTTCTGTTTTTATTTTTTACAAAAGTATAAAGCCAGGTATTTAACTAAATTAACATGACCAATTATATAATTAGGCTAATTATCATAAGTATTTAGAAGGTTTATTATGGGAGCGAAAATCTTTATAGGTTTAAAGTGGAGTAAATCACTTTGAACGTTTTTAATGATATTTTCCTTTTCAAATGGAAAAGTTTGATTTTTTGGACAAATTCTGAAAGTTTGGTATTTCTGGCATTTTCCCCATTTTTACAATCTAAACAAATTTTCCTGTCAAAAGAATGATGAATAAATTAGTTATTTACTCTTTTCCACTTTTCTACGAATTTTTCTACGAAATTCTTATCAATATTGATTTTTTACGGAATATTTTCTACAAGCTATTTTCGTAGGAAAACGGTAGAAAATGTATGTTTTCTACGATTTTCTTACGTTTTTAGCCGTAAGAATACGAGATTTTTTTGTAGTATCTTTCGATTAGATCTTTAACTATATTTAAAGATTTTGTCTGGGCAAGAGAAAACTTTCGACCGAGTGAGGGCTAAGAACAAAGAAAAAAGCTAGAGCGTAATGATTTTGGTATTTTGCTCAAATGTTAGCCATTATTGATGCCTGAACAAAGAAAAGGCAAAGCAATGTCCATTATTGATCCCTGGTATTTTGATGATTTGCTCAAATTTTGGCCACAAAAGCAATGTCCCTACATTCTTCGGAGATGTCACGATTTTCAAATTTTGGGGAAAGTGTAATGAAAGATATAATAAAAACCAATGTAAAACAAATGATTTAATACTTGATGTGATGGTTGCTGCACCAACCACGTGACTTCCCGAAATGGTTGTTCCACAAAAAACAATATTTGAAGAGAGCCTACTTAACGTTGAGCGACTAGTGAATTAGCAAAACGCTATCTAACTTATTTTTTTCCTAATGATTATAAATATCATTTTTTCCCGTAAAAGGACCTCATATTTAGAAACTAAAAGAAAATGGGTTTGACACTAAAGCCTTTGCTTCTGCTTCTACTTGTCTTGAGTCATCATGTTGATTCTGCCACTATAGTCAAGTCTCTTCCTGGTTTAGAAGGGAGTCTTCCTTTCGAACTCGAAACCGGGTTTGTAAAATGTCTCTTCCTTTTTACGAATGAAACTATGTGTTGTGAGTTTGGAGTTAGTAAATTAGCCATTCGTATGAATGAAGGTACATTGGTATTGGAGAGGACGAGGACATCCAATTTTTCTACTACTTCATCAAATCTGAAAACAATCCAAAAGAAGACCCTCTTCTTCTATGGTTAGATGGAGGACCTGGATGTTCTTCTCTCGGTGGCCTTCTTTTTGAGAATGGTAAATCTCTAATATATCTTCTTTAGCTAAGCATTATTTTCGATGAGTTGTGTTAAGTGAGGAAAATAAAATTTTAGGACCGGTGGCTTTGAAGTCCGCGGTTTACAATGGAAGTACCCCTTCTTTGTTCTCTACTCCATATTCATGGACAAAGGTAGCATTAAGTATATATGTTCATATTAGATCAAAACCCCAATAATCTATACTAATTGGTCATTTAAATTTTTGGATCTTTTTCTCAGATGGCAAACATAATATACTTGGATCAGCCTGTTGGATCTGGTTTCTCTTACTCAAGAACTCCAATTGAAAAAACTAGTGACACAAGTGAAGTTAAGAGGATCCATGAGTTTCTCCAAAAGGTAATACGACAAAATTAGGTGTCTCTTTAAAGCTCTTGTGTATGTTGTAATTATCGTAATGTAAAGTTATTGATTAATATTGGATTCTAGGATATTGATCTTGATGAGATGTAGGACTTAATCACACTGGTTAGCCAAACTCATTATGCTCATCAACTAAAACATAACCATTTATTTTTGCGCAGTGGCTTAGCAAGCATCCACAGTTTTTCTCCAACCCTTTTTACGTCACGGGAGATTCTTATTCCGGCATGATTGTTCCGGCGCTCGTTCAAGAGATCTCAAAAGGTATGTTGTTTTATCAAATCAAAAGGTATGTTGTTTTTATTATAATATGGGTTTCCAACTAAAAACCAATTGGCAATGAGTGAATTGGCCCATATCTTATATATACTGTTAGGATACTTGTCCTCCGATGTGGGATATTGTTATCCCTAATAGTGTTCTCATACACATTTCTTCGAAAATCGTTTAGCTGATATCGTATCACTTTTTAACAATATCGACATTATGATGCAGGAAATTATATATGTTGCAAACCTCTTATAAATCTACAGGTCATTGATTATATAGTCACTTCTTATATTTTGTATATATGTTCAAAGTACTAACACTAAAGATTCATACTTATAAGTTATAACTTCCTTTTTTTTATTACCAAAAACAGGGTTACGTGCTCGGAAACCCGATAACATATGCTGAACATGAAAAAAACTATCGTATTCCGTTTGCTCATGGAATGTCATTAATCTCTGATGAACTCTACGAGGTATATATTTTTATCATTTACAATATTTTGCCATTTTTGAAGCCTCAAATGATATAACAATGCTAAAAACAATTGCAGTCATTGAAGAGAACCTGCAAAGGAAATTATGAAAATGTGGATCCACGTAACACAAAATGTTTGAAACTTGTTGAAGAATACCATAAGGTACACACTCTAAAATTTGGTCAATCTTTGTTTTCCCTTGGTGATAAATATCATCATCCCTAATTGAGACTTTTGTTTTGTTTTGTTTATGTACAGTGCACTGACAAAATAAATACACAACATATATTAATACCAGATTGCGATAAAAAAGGGCATGGAATAACATCTCCTGATTGCTATGTAAGTATAACATCTTTCCTCCATGGAATTAACACCTCTTGTCTAGGCCTGGTGATTCGGTTACCCGTTCGCTTTCGGTTCGGTTGCGGTCGGTTTCGGTTAGTTCGGATATGGTAATATAATAACTATGAATATATTAGGAATTTTGGTTCGGATCGGTTTGGTTACTTTTCGGTTGATTCGGTTCGAATATTTAAATAGATTACCGTAACTAACCAAAAACTTATCAGGTTCGGTTTGGTTTGGTTTGATTTTTTACCCAAAATAGCCGAAATTAACGGAATATAACTGAAACTAACTCAAATTAACCGAAAAAAATACAAAGAAAAAAAAATATTAGAAAGAAATTAAAATTTAGTTCAATTTTGTAAAAGAGTATTTAATTTGGAAAAATATAACTAACAAAATTTGGATATTTTGATTATTTAGAGTATTTGATTCTTTTGATTCTAAAAAAAATTAATATTTTGAGTTTATAATTATAGTTTTAGGTATTATTTTTGGGTATCTTCTAGATTTTTAGATATTTCGGTTAATTTTTTAGTTATCGGTTTGGTTCCGTTCGGTTTTGGTTAGTTTGGATAGGAAATTTTACTAACCATTCGGTTATTTTAAAAACTTCAGTTTGGATACAGTTCGGATTTTTTCGGTTCGATTCGGTCGGTTATTCGACTACCAATTTTGTTGCCCAGACCTTCCTCATGATTTATTTTATTTAAGTAAAAACGTCTTAAAATTTGGGATCCCATTCATTTATTCCACCCTTCAGCGGTTAATAAACCGATAGAGAAAAATATAGTAATATTCAAATAAAAACTTTTAGAAAAAAATTTACAAAATATGTATGATCAAAAATTTGACAAATTTTCTAATTAGTTTTTAACCAAAGTACCTACAGATTTACATGATTTTTAACTATAAAGCTAAGAACTTAATAAAAATGGATGTATCCATTATGTAAAATTATTTATAGAAAAATCCTTATACAAGGTTGCTTTTGCAGTATTATCTGTATTTTCTCATTGAATGTTGGGCCAACAACGAGAGAGTTCGTGAAGCTCTTCATGTTAAAAAGGTATATGCTAACTAGGCTTAAGCTCTTTAAAAAAAAAACAGTGGTTTAAGGTTATTAACTATCTATAATTACAGGGAACTAAAGGACAATGGCAGCGATGTAATTGGACAATTTCATACGATAACAACATTATAAGCAGCGTACCATATCATATGAATAACAGCATCAGTGGATACCGATCTCTTATTTATAGGTTTGTGTTAATATTATGTTTTAAGAGAACATTACTTATTTGGGTGCACACAAAAAAAAAATACTTATTTAAGAATTTAACCAAAAAAGTGCATTACTTTTAAAACCTAACCTTGTTCCCTATACAACTACAAACATGATTAATCAAGAAAAAATATTTATAACCAGAGATATCGAACAAAACGAAATTAAATAAAACAGATTTATGTATACAAAACGATTTATTGTATGGTTTATGGTGAACAGTGGTGATCATGACATCACAATGCCTTTCCAAGCAACTCAAGCATGGATAAAATCTCTAAATTACTCCATCCTTCATGACTGGAGGCCTTGGATGATAAAGGATCAAATCGCTGGGTATATACATTTTTCTTGTTTTAGCTTTCTTTTGTTCACATTCATTTTCTTATCAAAGTCCTGTATAAATAATTCTTGCCTTTGTTTTCTTGGCAGATACACGAGAACTTATTCCAATAAGATGACATTTGCTACTATCAAAGCAAGTCTTATTATTTCAATTTTCAACTTAACACTATTTTCTGTCGTTTCATCATAACAATGAAAGTGTATTAATTTTTTTGACTGTTTGGATTATAGGGAGGTGGACACACTGCAGAATATCTACCAAACGAGACCTTTATCATGTTCCAAAGGTGGATCAGTGGCCAACCTTTGTAATAGAGGCTCATTGCCTGTACGAATTACGTAGATTAATATTCACGCAATTTTTTTTGTTTTGAAATGTTTACAGAATATTGGACTAAATTTGTTGGTATTTGTTACGTTACTGAACTTTTATTTTGTTATTTGTTATGTTACTTACATTTTCTTGTGTTATTCATGGAATCTTAAATTTCTGTGTGTTGTGTTTTACTTTTAATTACTCCAGATTTTATTTTTCAACAAATACTAACACTTTAAAATGGTTTTAAAATCCAAACCGACACTATAGATTTTACAAAACTTGTATCATACTGATATACTTTGGCACATAAATAATCTGCATTATTGTGCAAAATAATTGAAAGAGAGAGAAAAATGTGGTTGAAGGCATTCAAAAAGAGCATATTTAATTGTCTCTTTATTTGCCCCACAAATAACTCCTATGGATTCCAACAAGCTTCCAAAACAGATTTTTCGGAAGCACTACTGAAACAACAAAAATTTATGAGAGTTTTCCATTCTGATTCCAATTTTGATCCTGAAAACTCTGTACCAGCCACTGGTGAGGATCGATTTTAAAATTTTGTGCAAAGTGTAATGATTATATGAATACAAACCTAACGTGGAAGTCTTTTAGTCACGTACTCACGTGATTGAGCAATGTATTTGTTTTTTTCCCTTTTAGTCACGTTGTTTGAACAATGATTATTAATGGCTCTAAATAAAACAAAACTGTGCAGTTTTTTTAGCTGTAAACTGGAACAGTAAAATTGAATAATATAAAGCTATACAAAAAAGTGGTACATCTACATATACATTTTTACAGGGTTTTTTTGCATTAATTCATTTGGATCCGGGTTTTACCCGGGTTTAACTCTATCCGGATCTTGGATAAGGAATTTTAGGAATGTTGTCTTAAAACCACATTAATTCTTAAATAACAACTAAATTGGAAATATATATATAATATCTAAACTAACCATATTTGTTATTTACCTTAACTACTCCTAACCATAATTATTTAACTATTTATTTCTATATAGAAAGAATATGTGATTAAAATAAATATTTTGTAAAATATTGATTTGGGAAAAATTGTTCTTACGAAAATAATTTGTTTTGTTATAAAAATTAATATTTGTTATTTGTAATTAAATTACATAAATAATAATAATAATTTGTCTACACCATCAAATGAAAATAGTTAGTTATTTAATTTTTTTATTTAATATTACGTAATTTTAAAAAAAAATACCAATATAATGTCAATGGGTTTAATTCTAAAGATTTGAAAATATTAAAAAAGATACTAACCAAAAATTATCTATCCTAATTTGTTTCTAACAATTTAGACACAAATCTTTCAAATCTTTCAAATATTTAATGTGATCACAGTTGTTACTAAAATCTCGATTATATTCCTAAAATCTCGAGAAGATCTTCCTTTAAATCCGCAAATTATAATTTTTAAATTAAATAAACTAACAATACGAATATTCCTAATATATTCGAGTACTAATAATCCTTATTATAGTATATTCCTTATCTAAATACTAAATCTTTTATTTTTAATTCTAATAAAAATTTATGAAATCGGAAATCAATCATGATTTCTTAAACATCCTTAAATTTCGAAATAATTAACAATTCGAATATGCTGAAAAATCATAACGAAATATCTTTATTTACTTAAATGTTTTAGTAATCGTTATAGCAAAAAAATCAATTCCAGCGCTATTGGTTCTTTAAACTTTTTGATTTACATAGATATTTTGTATTCCATAATTAACTCATTAAAATCTTTGATTTAAATAACTACAATGTGAAAATTAGTATATGTAATAAATATAACATATAATATTTACGAGATTTTCATATACTTGATCCCCAACCCAAATTGGCGAATATATTATTTCTCATAAAATATCTTTTAAAGATTTTTTTGTTTCGTTTAGATATTATTCAACAAACTTCCTAAAACAAATGGAAATATCTTTAATTAGCTTTCCTCATTCATAAATCCCACCATGCATATAGACGTTATTCAGTTGATAATACAAAATCGAATATATTAGGAATCAAATATTTAATTTTCGAATATTTGCAAAATTGTTTTAATTTGTAGGTCAAACCTAAACTTCTCGAGTACTTTTCATTCATCTATATAAAGAAGATCTTTTCAACCATTGATCCACAATACTAAACGTTTTCGTAATAGAGATTTATATGGCTTCTTTTAAACAATGTTCTTAGTACATTTTATATTTCACGTTTGTTTTCTTTTAAAAAATTAATTGTCACCTACTTTTCTTATGTTGCAGCTTTCGATTTTAAGATCTTTGGAAACTATGGACATCATCAACTCCGTCTCCAAAGAAACTATCAAATAAGGTATGCATTAAAAGGTTAGTTAGTCCTTCTTCTTATCTTCAGATACGAATTTTTTAATGTCCAGTATTTTTTTACATTTTCAGAATTTCATGTTTCCTCATAATGTTTGTAAATGATTTTCTTTTATAGGCTAACATAACAAGTCCATTCTATTAATTCATTTTCTTTAACGTAAAAAGGAAATGAATTTGTTAATAAAATAAAGTTCTTATTCTTAATTTTCATTATTCTAATGTTATGTATTTTAATTGTTTTTATGATATATAATTTTACAAAAACATGTGAGTGTAATTTATGATATCCGAGTTTTGGTTGGTAAGTGTAATTTTTCTAATCTTTTAAAACCTTTTATAACAATTACATGTTTTATATGGTTAAAAATCACATCATATATATTTTATTTTCTTATCCAATGTATTTCATGTTTAATGTTTTCTAATACTTTTTATGTATATTTTGGTTTTGACTAATTTTATATTTAAGTTCTTAATTTAATCTATTAAAGTTTCCAAAGAAAACATTTTAAATATAAGTTCTTAATTTAATCTATTGAACTTTATTAAAAGTAAAATATTATAATTATTTAAACTTTTTAAAAAGTTTAATTTTATAAAACGTTTTAAATATTTATAATATTAGGAATTTTCTAAAGTTTCAAATATTAAATAGTTGAATTTTATAATAATTTGTAAGAAATTTAAACATTATAAATATTTACAAAAGATACGAGACGGTATATTACTGGTGAAATCCTAGATATAACAATCAAAATACTATTATGAATTTTGGGTCGATATTAAATGAAGTTTCAAATATTAGAAATATTTGAATTTTATTGGAAAATGACAAAATGATGTAGATTTCACGGGACAGAGTTATATGGTCGGACGGGTTTGTGGTCGATATTAATACAGTATGATATACTACGGGTAAAATCCTATAATTAACAATCAAAATATAACTATACAATCTTAAACGCTAAACAAAACTAAACAAATAATATTAACAAAACAACTAAAACTTCAAATTTTAAATCTTTAGTTATAAATATCGTCATACAGTGTACCATACATTTAAATCAAACAAAACAATAGCATATATCTATAGATCATCTTAATTTTTTTTTTTATTATTATTTAATAAAATTATAGACCCGCGGTTAATATCTAGTAAAAGTTATAAAAAAAAACTGACAATAAGACTTTTAGTAAATCTTTTGATATTACTTTTGTAATTAGTAACTATCAAACTGAAGTTATGGGATTACCATTTAAACCCAATACTCTTACACCAAGTTTTGGTCAAAGCTTATCATAATTTAGAGTACTGTAGATAAAACTGTCCACAAGTTTTGTATATTGCAGGAAAATCATTATTAATAGATAGAAATGTCAAAACGAACTAAGCTATGCTCGAAGGGTTGATCCTAGCCAAGCCAACCATACGGCAGATGTGGATATAAATATTAGGTCTGTTTAGAAGCGTGTCTCATGGGTAGCCCGCGAGCTGGCGGATCGAAATGCGTGTTAGAAATATTTAATAAAAATTAATATATTATATAAAGAAATAAACATTTTTATATAATTGTGAAAATATAATATGTAATATGTGATTTTGTAAAGAACTTTAATTTATATAAATTATAATATTTACAAAAATGTTATATTAAAATTTATATTAAATTGAAAATTATTAATTGAAGTTTTAAGGAATAATTTTATTTTTTAATTATTTCAAAAATATAAAAATTAAATCCACCGGCCCCTGGTGCGGGCTTGGACATATTTTTTTGCCTTCAATCCTGGTAAGCTAATCCGTCGTGGTCCAACAAAAAATAATGCCCATCACGGGCCGGTTCAGATAGACGCAGACCGGCCTATTTGACATATAATAGGTTGATATATGTAACGAACAAAGGAACAAAAAACAAAGTACTGATTGTACATTAAAATTTTAGAGCAGGCAAAGCAAATTAATTTTAAAAGGTTCTAACACGCAGTAATCGCGGATGAATAATATTGTTACAATTTGTGTAAAACTTGAATTGCATAGGCGGATCTTTAATTTATTTTTAGAATTCGTGTTTAGTTTCTATTTATATTTACTTTGTATAATGTTATTTGATAGTGTTTGTGTATTGTGTGTCTCTTTTTTGTTCCTGTATGGTTTTGTTTGTGACTTTGTCTGTTGAAATCTTCTCGGCGTTGTGTGTCTCTTTTTTTCTTGGAGATTTTAATGATTTCGCTCGATTTGTTTTCAATTGATGTTGTATGATTTTGGTGTTTTAATATCTTATAGAACTTTAGTTGAATAATATATCTTTGTTTCTTAAAATTCGAACCATTAGAAATAAAAATCTATATTTTTTTGTTATATGTATTATATAATTCAAAATAATTGAAAATAAAATCAAATAAAGATGATAGAAAAATCATAATTTTAAATCTTAACAAAACCTTATAAATATAATAACTAAAATAAGTGATATGGTATAATTAGATATCAAATCTTAGTTTTTCAATTTTGATTAGTTAACAAATTCTAAAAATAATTTTGATTTTCATCCATAATTAATGAGAGTAATGTTTTAATAAGCGCTAGGCGCTAGCTAGGCGGTGAATTAGTGTCTAGCGGCTAGGCGGCTAGGCGGCTATAGCAGAAATTAATCAGGTTCTAAGAGTTGAAGAAATTAGAGATAAATTCATGTTTCATTATCAATATATAGGTTATTTATTGATGTAATCGGTAATGTACATATATATATCTAGTGGCATAGCGGTGGAGTTCCTCAAAGTTTTTGTTAGACCCAAATTCGAGTTCTTTGAATACACAAATATCCTTTTTTAGCTTAAATGAGAAGAGAAAAATAGTACTTTTGTATAAAAATCATATTCTTCCCCGAGACCCTAACCGCGGTTTATACTCTCAGTTTTTGGATCTGATTTTTTGTATTTCTTCCATTTTTCAATATTTGCTCATGTGTCTTACTCAGGATCGCACAAATCTACCTTTAAGTTACAGATTTCTAGCAAAAAGGTGACGTTTAAGATAACTTTTTATCTCGACCGATTTCTTCATCTCATAGACCAAAATCGCGGCGGTTAACTAGTTTGTAGTTCCTCCACGGCGCGTATTCGGCCACCGTGGCCGATTTTTAGAACCTTGAATGAGAGAGAAAAAGTGAGTTTAATCTTTTGGAAACCAATAATTATATAAAGGAGAATTTTTGAGTTCACTCCTAGGGTTGTACCCTTTTTCACTCATTTTTTCTAACTAATTAGAATCTGTCACTTAGATTATTCACTCATGGAGTTAAAGTCAATTCTTAAAGGTTTAGATTTGATTTCTGCTATTGTTTTTAACAATCTGTTTGTGTGGAGTTCAAAATCTCTGCAGTATATCCCGGATTATGATTCTAATGATTTACTCATAAACTCCAAAGATGTTTCATTTCAAATGATTTGATATACAAAGATTTTACAAGTCTTTTAGTTTTGAATAACACTGGATTTTAATGAAGCATTTTAAATCTTAGTTGAATAACACCAAACTTTAAAATCTATTAGAGTTAGATTTAAAATCATTAGGTTAATAACACTGGATTAGTGTTGGATTTCAATTCTATTAAAATCCATCATTGAATAACACCACCTTAATAAAAATAAATAAAATAAAAAATATATTATCCATATAAAAAATGTTAACTTAAGTCACTAAAATAAATCATATAACAATATACTATTGATTTTAGAGTTTATATGTCGGTTTGGGTTTATAAGAGACATGTTATAATTTAATGTTTCAATTATAAACGAAATTATATTTGAGTTTATAAGGGAGGGTGTGGTTAGATTTTACAATTAAATGAGATTAAATGTTGGTTTAGGTTTATAAAGAAGAGTTTGGGTTTGGATTTTACAGTGAAACGAAGTTATATGTTGGTTTGAGTTTATAAATGACGGTTAGGATTTATATTATACGACTAAACGAGGTTATATGTCGGTTCAGATTTATAATATAGGATTATGATTCAGATTTTATAATTAAACGAGATTATATGTCGGTTTGAGTTTATAAAAAAGGGGTTATCGTTTAGATTTGACAGTTAAATATGGATAACTGATTGTTTCGGTTTTATAAAAAAGTGATTATAGATTAAATTTTAGAATCAAATGAGTTTAATTTTTTTTATTAGGTGTCAGATTAATTTAGATAAATAGGTGGTGAAATCCATAAATTGGTTTTTAATTTGGTTTTTTATTTGGTTTTCGTAATTTTCATTAATTTGTGATTACAATTACACCTTTAATGAGTTTATTGAAAAAAACACTAGAGACGACCAATTGCAATGTGATATAATTTTTATCAACTTTTAAGTTAGTTTCTATTTTAGGCTTCTCAACTAGTAGTATTAATTAGTAGTAGTCTGATATTTTAATATTGACAAAATCAACTCAATTATTTATCGATCCAAAGAGGGCCTACTGAACTTGGATCGGAGTGTACTGAATTAGCAAAAACACTAAATATTTGGTATATAAAAACCATTTTTCTTCCCTGAAAGGACTCAAATCATTTAGAAACGAAAAGAGAATGAGTTTGACATTACAGTTTCTGCTTCTTCTTCTACTTGTCTTGAGTCATGTTGATTCTGGTTCTATCGTCAAGTTTCTTCCTGGTTTTGAAGGCCCTCTTCCTTTCGAACTCGAAACCGGGTTTGTAAAATGTCTCTTCTTTTTTACCATTATGAGTTGTGAGTTTGGAGTTAACAACTAGCCATTCTTATTAATGAAGGTACATTGGTATTGGTGAAGATGATAATGTGCAATTTTTCTACTATTTCATCAAATCTGAGAAGAACCCGGAAGAAGATCCTCTTCTTATATGGTTAAATGGAGGACCTGGATGTTCTTGTCTCACTGGCCTTTTTTTTGAGAACGGTAAACCTATAATATTTCTTCTTTCAGTAAGCATTATTTTCATTGATTTGTTTAAAGTGGTAAACAAAAAAAAAAACAAATAGGACCTTTGGCTTTGAAGAACGAGGTTTACAATGGCACTGTCCCTTCTTTGGTCTCTACTACATATTCATGGACAAAGGTAGCTTAAAGTATTTATCTTCATATTGGATCACAAAGTTCTTGATCTTTTAAAGTTTTGGATCATATTCTCAGACGGCAAACATAATATACTTGGATCAGCCTGTTGGATCTGGCTTCTCTTACTCAAGAACTCCAATTGAAAAAACTAGTGACACAAGTGAAGTTAAGAGGATCCATGAGTTTCTTCAAAAGGTAATAAAAGAACCTTAACGTACTGTCTGTTTAAAGCATTTCTCTTTGGGCCTCTAAGCTCATGTACTTAAACGAAATCAATTCCACGGGACACTACTTTGTAATCAAAATTCGTATACTTTAAAGCTTAACATCAAAACGAAAAGAAACAAACAGAAAGAAAAAAAAAAGAAACGAAAAAAAAAAAAACTTGGAACGATTTTACTCTAACCAAAAGTTTAGCAAAAGCATGACTGTATCAATGAGCATCACGTGTTTGTTTTATTATGTAGTCAACATCACCTTTAAGTGTCGTCGTTATTGATAACGTATGAAAATAATCAATTGTCGTTTCCCAACCAATTCATATACTACTCCTACTGTATCATAAAGAATGATTTTTGAGGTTTTATTTTTGTATAAAAAAAGATTGATTTTCTGTAAACTTTTATCAATTAATGTTGATAAATTGTGAATTTCAAGAATCATTAATTGAGAATTTTAAATTTTGATGATTTACTATTGGTTAATAGCTATGAAAAATGGTTGATATGAATAAATTATGCATTTATAACTAAACAATAAATGTTTTTCTTAATTAGTGTGAAAACTCTATAAAATCAATCTTTTTGATACAGATGGAATATTACATTTTAAAGCGTTGAGAGTGAGAGGGTTTGTAGTCTTAACTATTCTTAAAAACATTACTATTTTTAGAATTGGATTGATGGTTTATGTAGATGGCTTCATCTCAAAAATAATTAATATATATATATATAGATATAGCATTATTTGTATATGTAAATTTTTGACTGGTATATTATTTTGCTATCTAAACTATTTTTTCAGCTTTTAAAAATATTTTTAGTAAATGTATATTGCCTAAGTTTTTAATTATTATTTTAAATAATCATTCAATATCTTAACTGACCATTGACAATATTGATGCATCTATCATAAAATAATTATTTTCCGAATGTCTCATACATATTACATTGCTAACTCTACTAACCAAACTAGTGGTTCCCGTTTGAGGTATAAAATCTCTCTTTGAATTTAGGATAAAGATTGATTCCTCTCAAATATCTTAAGAAAAATCTTGCACTTCACATCTTTGCCACTTTTAGTCGTTTTCATTGGCAAAAATATTTCAATTTTTTTCATTGACCTTGAGAACTAGTCTGAACTTTTTTTATTTTTTTTTAATTTAGTTAGACTGAATTTAGGTATGGGTTGGTGGAAAATGTTTTGCTACCAAACATCAATAAAACCGTAACCACAGTTTTTATTTCGTAGATAGGATTTAAGATCTTGAGATTTCATATATCTGAATAAATCGTTTGAAGAGTTTAGTTTTTTAACAATTTTTTTTTTTTTGTCATCCGAAATTAATTAGAGCTCAAAAGAGCCATTCTTGGAGAATGTTGTTTACAAATGTGATATGAAGCGGTTCTGTACGAATTTTTCGTGCCAGATGATCCGCTTTTACATTAGCATTGCGAGAAATTAAAAATAAAAAGAAGGATGAGAATTCTTCCTTGTCGCTCTGGAATTCCTCCAAGTTTTTTAACAACATAAATTATATGATTTTAAATCTATATGGTGATAAAGTTATAATTATACTAACATAAACCACAACTAGGTCCATAGGGCGTGTCTAGTGGTAGTGAAACTGTGAGAGTAGAGGAGGTTATAATGAGGTACTCCAAACTCCAGATTCGATCCATCTTAGAAACTATCCTACAAATGTATGGGTGTCAAGGATTTTCATAAGGCTCTCTCTTGTTCCTTTGACCCGAAAATTAGCTAGAAAAAAAAAGTCTATGTGATCTCGCTCGGAATTTGTAGTATATGTTTAACCGGATCACCCGAGTTATCGAAAAAAGCCCACTACTAAATTACAAATCATGTTCAATACGAGGAGTTTGAAAAATTCAAAAGTTTTTGTCAGTATAAAAAGAGTGAAAATCTTTTCAAGATTATTATATTCCATTAAATTTTTTTTTTTGAACAACAATATATTCGATTATACTATTATTCATACGATCAGGGGCGGATCTACAGTGTCAAAGGGTGGGGCACGTGCCCCATACTCTTATTAATACTTGTCTAATTACGGATGATCAATCAATATTTCTTAGTTCTGTTGGCAAATGGGTGCCCCATACAAAGTTATGATAGCCCACGTCCCCTTTTTTTTTTTAATTGTCTTCCTACAATTTTATTCTTCTTTATGATTGTTTGCAACTTTGCATTTTCCCTATTCCTTTTGTTTTTTGGTGTGATTATTCCCTTTTATTATTATCTTATATAAAATTTAATGATAAATACATATATTTACATTTCTTAAGTTATTTTTAATATCCAATATGTAATTTAGTATATTTAGAAACCTATAGATATAGTACTTTCAAATATTTTTGATTTCTTTTAAGATTTTAAATTTAAGATTATTAAAGGTAAAATATATGGTTTTATTTTATTTATTTTTAGTCATGTATGGTTTCATTTTATTATGAAAATTTAATATTGTTAGTTTTTTTTTTTTTACAGCCTTTAATATTGATAGTTATACACATAAGTTGTGCCCCATACAAGTTATTATCCTCGATCCGCTACTGCATACGATCATTGTAGACTGTGAGAGTAGATAAGGTTCATTCATTTGTTTATCATTATAAATCTCCACAATTAATATGTAGACAACAACAATAAATAACGTGTGTAAGGAGTAACATGGAGTACAGATCATTAAGTAGTAAGACTTTTAAATTAAAAGTTTTAATAAAATGAATCTCAATCGTTTCGAAAAGGAATAATCTAAAATACTTGATTTAATTCGTTATTCTTCACAAACCATTTAAATTTTAAAGTAAAAAAGAACTTAAGATAAATAATAAAAGTAATGACATGTACGAGTACTACTAATTTGGTGTTTGGATATTCGTAGAGATCTCAAAATATATTTTTTCGGTTAAAATTAATAAGAGATATAACTTGTTTTTAACTATTATAGTGAATTGTTCTTATTTTAACACATTTAAATTAGAACTTGTTTTTAACTATTATAGTTAATATTACTACTATCCATACAATTCAACGTGCATCTTGATTTTTTTTTTTTTGAGCAAATATTGGTTTCATTAAGACAAACTTAGTGCGAATACAGCGAGTTCAGAGCAGCTTTCGCTATGGAGTCTGCTCGAGAGTTTTTTTCTCTTGAAACAAAGTTAAAGTTAATTTCATCGAAATCTAAAGATAGGAGTCGGATATCGTGTAGAATCTCGTAGAGTTCCTTCGGTTGGAGCTCCAAATTGATTGCTTTGATCAGCTGTTGTGAATCTGAAGCAAAAGAAAGTTTTGAGAGGCCAACAATCGTTTCTCGAAGTTTTAGTAAAAAATGTGTTTCAAAAAATAAATTTTTAAAAAGTTTTATACATTTTTTATTAGTTAATGATGATAATTGAATATTGTTAGTTTACAATCATAGAAAATTTGTTAATCCTAAAAAATGGTGCATTTATAATCAATTTTAATTTATTTATGATCTACATAAAAAATGTTTTTAAAGGGGGAGTGTATTTAATCAAGTAGTTTTAGTCCACAAAATAAAAAAATCTACAAATACCACACAAAAGAGATTTTTTCCTAAATATTTTAATCTACAAATACCACTAAAAATAGATTTTTTTCCTAAATGTTTTACTAAAAAGAGCTTTTTGTTTTGCAGTGGCTAAGCAAGCATCCACAGTTTTTCTCCAACCCTTTTTACGTTGTAGGAGATTCTTATTCGGGCATGATTGTTCCGGCCCTCGTTCAAGAAATCTCAAATGGTATGATTTTATATCCACAAATCCCCATACATTTTTCTTTAAATAATGTTTAATAGATTTTTCTCTCACGTTTTAACAATAAAAATACTATGGTACAGGGAATTATATATGTTGCAACCCTCCTATAAATCTACAGGTCATTGATTTTTAATTGCTTGTTATATTATGTATATTTTTCGAAGACTTAGAAATTTTTTTGCCAAAAACAGGGTTATGTGCTCGGCAATCCGATAACACATATTGAATTTGAACAAAACTTTCGGGTTCCATATGCTCATGGAATGTCATTAATCTCTGATGAACTCTACAAGGTATGAAATCATTTATGCTACATTGAGAGTTTTTATTTTCTAAATCGAGTCTTGGCCTGACTCAAAGCCTCAAAATGATACAACAATGTTCAAAACTATGTTTTTTTCAGTCAATGAAGAGAATCTGCAAGGGAAATTATTTCAATGTGGATCCACGTAACACAAAATGTTTGAAGCTTGTTGAAGAATATTATAAGGTACACACTGGAATTATGTCAATATGTTTTCTTTTTTTGCTTAGTTAATTAATATAATCACTTACAGATTTTTTTTCCTTGGTCATTTCTCATAATATATTCACTAACTCAGATTTTTTTATTTTTTCTTTACAAGTGTACTGACAAAATAAATAGCCATCATACATTAATAGCAGATTGTGATGACTCAAACACAATCCACCTATCTCCTGATTGCTATGTAAGTAAATTTTCTTTCCTGCATCAGTTTCCGCTCCTATTTGCATCAACTTATAGAAAGCTTACAAAGATAATCAAAATTTAAAACCAAACATCTGCTTAAGATGGAGTAACGAAAATGAAGAAAACATATCTACAATGTATACAGTAAAACCTCTATAAACTAATACTCAATAAATTAATACCCTTTATAAATTAATAAATTTGTCCGGTCCCGAGTTGAGACCAGTGTAAAAAATGACACAAATCGATAAATTAATAAGATAGTAATTTTTCTGAAAATCTTATATAAATACATAGTCCCATCAATTTTATAAATTAATAATTGTATAAATTTATCTATATATATATATATATATATAATATGATATTAATTTATATTTATCATATATGAATTACTATGATATATACTTAAAATATTATATGTAAGAAATTTAATGAAATATGACTCTATTATTTGTTTGTTTTTCTTAAATTTGTATTAATTATTGGTAGAGTTCATTTCTAATATTTTTACTTGTTCAAAAAAAGTTTGTGTTGTTTTCTAAACTTAAGAATTGGTTTTAAAAAGATATTGGTTATGAAGAAAAAAAATGCTTTTCAGATAGAAGTTTTTTAAGATATTACAAAATTAGTAAAATCTCTATGTAGTCAGTATACGGATATGATTTTCATAATTTGTGAGTTATAACATTAGTCATGATTGTAGCTACTGGTATAAGAAAACAAATGAGTTGTTATAATCATATTTTAAAAAAGGAAATAAGAGCTGACACATGACTAATTTGGGAGAGGATTAGAGCGTTCATAGAAGAAAATAAAATCTAGATATGCCCTTGTTTTCCACATTTATTAGTTGGTTGAATATGGAAAAATTATATTAACCCGTTTATAGACGAATTTAGGCGATTGGGGATGAGCCTTTAGTCAAGTGGTTAAGTCCATTTGACTCCGTCTTCCCATCGGAGTTTAACTCCACTAAGTCGTGTTACCCCACGTAGTCAGAATTGTATATGGATCGGACCTTGTCGATCCAAAGATGTCAAAAAAAAAATGAATTTAGGCGACTAGTACGATGAAATTATCATATTTTGTAAGTACTTTATGATCAAAGTTCTAAGGTTCTACAATTTTTTTAGTTATGAAAACTAAGAATCTAATTAAAATGGAGGAATCAATATGGACAATTATGCGATCACATACGTTTATTTCGATATATATTTCACCAAAAATGAAAATTGTTATGAAATTTTAAAGAAATATATTTACAAGGTTGCTTTTGCAGTATTATCCGTATCATCTCGTTGAATGTTGGGCCAATACCGATAGCGTTCGCAAAGCTCTTCATGTTATTAAGGTAAAAACCAACTTTATTGTAAGATTACTGATAAAGCGTGAAACTATATATATATATATATATATATATATATATATATATATATATAATCATTTTTATAGAACCTAAATTTTTAACTATATATTATTACAGGGGAGTATAGGAGAATGGAGACGAGATAATCGGCTTAATATTCCATACAATTCTGACATTAGAAGCAGCATACCATACCATCTGAATAACAGCATTAGTGGCTACCGATCTCTTATCTTCAGGTTAGAGTTAATTTTACTTTTAAAGAACTGATCTTGTTCCTAGGGGTGCGCAAAAAATCTATTACAACAAAAGAAAAAAAAAATCCATAACCAGAGAGGTTGGACCAAACCAAATACAATGAAACCAAAAAAGTTTTACCAAAATATTGTTAAAAACCATTAAACAAAGACGAAAACAGATTTTAGTGTACTTGAACTAAACTAAACCGAAAGAACCAAATTTTATTAAATTTTACACTTTTCTAAGTTATAGTCACATTCATATTAAGTAAATATAAAATTTACTAAAACCTTTATGGATAAGGAAATTGGCAAAACTAACCAACAAAAATACTATAATTAAGAAACTAACCTCTAACCCCCCTATTCACTCTCTTTCTCTTCCTATCTCTCTCTACCTTCTTTATAAAAAACTAATTTTTCTTTTTTTTTGGTTATTCACCTAAATCACCCTTATGGATATTTAGATGAATTTTTTAACTACAATCAAACCAAATAAAAACTGAAAAACCAACCCAAAGTTGCATCAAACCGAACCGAAACCAATTCAAATTATAGATGGTTTTTTGTGCTTTAGTTTCTATCGAATTAATTTGTGAGGTATATATGGTGAACAGTGGTGATCATGACATCACAATGCCTTTCCAAGCAACTCAGGCCTGGATAAAATCTCTAAATTACTCCATTATTGATGACTGGAGGCCTTGGATGATAAAAGATCAAATCGCTGGGTAATATATATACAATTTTTGTTTTAGATCTCTCTTGTTCATATTCATTTTCTAGTCGTATCACAAACCTCTCAAAATCATTCTTGCCTTTTTCTTGACAGATACACGAGAACTTATTCCAATAAGATGACATTTGCTACTGTCAAAGCAAGTCTTCTTAGTTGTTTCAACTTAACATATTAATTTTCATTGCATTTCCATTTGAAAAATGTTTTCTAATTTTTTTTTGGGGCGTTTTGATTATAGGGAGGTGGACACACGACAGAGTATCTACCAAACGAGAGTTCTATCATGTTCCAAAGGTGGATCAGTGGCCAACCTTTGTAATAGAGGCTCATTGCCTTAAAGTATGAAAAATAAAAGTACGTACCATGAAATGTTTGTAATAGAAGCTCATGGCTTTTTTCAGCTTTCTGTCCTTTTCTCTCCTTGTCATAACCTTGTCGGTCACCGCGTGATACTAAATGAGTTCGAAGAGAAGTTTCTGTTAATGAATCTCACTTTTATGAATGATAATATATCATACTTGAATTTGAATAATTCTATTTGGGTTAAAGAACTCGATTCTTATACCCTATGTTAAGTTTCAGGGATTTCAAACATAATTGATCAAAATTAGAGGATTAGTCCATGTTGCAAGTGTAAAAGCTAGAGAGTAGAGACATACTTCGATATATCATAACTTTGTCTTCTACCAACGTTGTGTTGCCCCAGTGGTAAATCTCCCAGGTGGAGGTATTGGGTTCGACGCCCGTTGGGAGGGATCTCTTCTCCAAAGGAGATGAATTTAACCTGGTGTGGATCCCGCCTCTGGGAGATGTAGGCCCTTCGGGCTTGAACTTCCATATAAAAAAAAAACTTTGTCTTCCGTACTACACCACAAGACTGATCGTTCTTGGGCTTAAGAGCCCCAAAATCATAAGGGATAGGGCCTATGATGCACGGCCACGGGACGTTAATTTTCAGCCGTCTCACGTCCCAGACGTGTAAGAGTATCGAAAGCAAACATGTATTTTGAGATTTGTCCGGCTCAATTTAATAGACGTGTAAGAGTATCGAAATCCAATAGATAGTAGTTTGGGCCTGGTCCGGCCCATTCTTAATGGCATGAAAGTAAATCGTGCAAAAAGGAGTCGAATTATCAGAGCCAGGTTTCGATCCTGGGACCTGTGGGTTATGGGCCCACCACGCTTCCGCTGCGCCACTCTGATTTTCTTGATAAAGTTAGCACATGTTTATATTTATATGTTAATATACCACAATCATTCCTAGCTAAACCCTTAAAAAGGAACCCTTTTCAAAATCGATTGTTTCGATTCAATGATTTAACTTTTCACTGTTGATGTTGGGATGGGTCTTAAAATAAATTTTAGGATCTCTCCACTGGTGTTAACCTGAAGAGTGAAGACACATACACAAATTCATTAAAAAAAAATTGATGTATTCAAGAAAATTGTAATATGCCTTGGAGACTCTTTGAAATATCCGGACTTTGACAAATCCATCTTCTTGGTTAAGGATTTGAAGTGAGAGGGTTCCCTACATACCAAAGCTACTAATAACTAATGTGAAAGGTTAGTGAGATGCGTTGGTGAAAGACCATCCTATTTAGGTTAACTTTCCATAACATTTTTATCTGTAAAAAAAAAACAAATTTAGTTGTTTAGTGAGTATTGCTTTAGTGATCTTCAATATTAATTAGTATAGAGATGTTCAACATTTTTAAATGTAAGATATTTTAACAATATAATGAATTCATAAAAATAAAAATATAAAAGATTTTCATTTAGATAATGTTGAGTAGTGTGTTACACATGCCAAAACTGGACTCCATTTATCTTTACCATCGTAAGTAGAAACAGAATGAAGTATCATTACCAATATTGTTCTTGTTTCTAGAGGGAAAAATAGAAAACTTAAATAGAGTTGAACCGATTTAAGTCAAAAATATGGCTCAAAAGAAAGAAAAAAAAAAAACTAATTCGTTTTCTAAATCCCAATATTCGAACAAAACTTAATAAAAGTTACCAAACGTTTTCTTAAAACTAAACCTTTACACTAATTTGGTTACTATGTTCACTAAACCAACAAGGAAAAGAAAAACCAAATATCATATATAAAATTACAAATACTTCATAATTTGACAACATGAATACATTTTTTATTGTTTATACGTAATCATCATACCATTCTTCATCATTAGCATCCAAATATTCTTCTTCTTCATCATCTATCTTACCTGGTCCAAGCGATTCGACCGGCCGAGAAAGGTTTGGAATGGTTCTTGCCTCACCAACTATCTTCATAATCTCCTCTACTCTTTGTGGAGAAAAGTTAATAAGATTTACATTCCTTTGGTAATAAATTGCTTGTGCCGACTCCTTTAGTTCTCTTGGCAAATTCTTTAGGAACCATGAATGACTCTTAATCTCTTTAAGCGTACTTCTCTATAATAGTTACAAAACAATAAACATTGTAAGAAGTTGATTAGAAGATAAACAATAAGGTTAAAAATATATCTGTATACTTACATGTAATGGATTGGCAACAAATATACGAGACAATAACTTTCTGCAATCTTCTGATATGTGAACATATCCTGGAATCTTGTACTGCACAGCCATTATTTTCTGCAATTTCAAACCCAAAAATGACATATGATTGTGTGATTATATAGATCACTTCGTTTATTTGATTTATATAAAAAGTATACCTGAACAGTTTTTCGGAAATTGCGAGGGTCTTTAGGGTCTTCGAAAGGATAAGCTCCTACTAACATAACATAGAGTGCCACTCCACAAGACCACACATCAACTGACTGTAGAAAGATATATACAAATCAAACGACCTCAAGTTATATTGTAAATCTGTAATCAATAAACATTATCATTTTTATTTTATTTCGAACAAAAAATCGTGACCTAGACTTAAATTTCCTCCGACTAAGGAGTAGAACATGTTCAGGTTCGAATTCTGGTTGTTACATAGTTTTTTGTATGAATTGTGGGATGTAAAAATAGGAATGCTGATTATTAATTTTTTTCTTAAATATATCTTGGTTTATTATGTTATACTTCTGTTTATTTGGATTAAATTTTTGTTTTGCGAATAAAAACAAATTTTAAACAGAAATTATCCCTTCCAAAAGATTGATCTATTTCTACTAGACTACCACACATTTGGTAGAATGTTTTTTTATTTAGTTCACAGATTAGTTGGTCTATTCGAAATGGACAAGTGTCCTCTTAGCAAAGTATATTGATAATTTCAAAAGGCATCACCACGAAATTGTGCAAGTTACTTCTGAAAACAAATATTAAGTTGACCAATGAACATTTTGCTGACGTTGATTATTTGACAGTGGCCATTTAATTTGAATAGATATTGGATAAAGTCGATATATAGTATACAATTTACTATAGATGTTAGTAGCAAATGTCATGTGAGTGGATATATGAAGCAAGCTTTTGTCGCTTACTACTCTTTTTCCATGAATTATGGTTTTATAACTATGGAAAGTGGAATGTCCACCTAAAAAAACTATTTAAAGTGGAATTCAGACTTGTAAATATCTTTGTTATTGGAAAAAACAAAAAAAAAATAAAAAAAAATTCATTACTACTTAAAAAGAAAATATTTAATTACCTTTCCGTCGTATTCTGATCGACCAAAAACTTCCGGTGCTATATATGCCGGAGTTCCCACTGTTGATTTTGGGTTGGAATGCAGAAGAGAAGACTGTATACAAATTGAAGAAGTTATTTATCCATTCCGAAATTAAAATTTTAAGTTGCAGAAGTTGAAAAAATGAATTAATTAAAAGAAGAAAAAAAACCTTTGAGTAGCCAAAATCACAAATTTTTAAACGTGGTGCTGGGCTTCCATCAAGCAATGTGTTTTCTAATTTCAAATCTCTATGGCATATTTGCTGCAAAATTAGTTTGCTTCAATAATAAAAACATAACACAACTATTCTATATACAATTTAATTTGGTGTGTAAAATTAATTTACCATGGCATGTAAGTAATGGACTCCGCAGATGAGTTGTTGAAAGAAATATCTTGCCTGCAAGTAATTAAAATCAATTAATTCATTGAAATAAATAAATGTTTAACGAATCATAAAATGTGGTGACTAAAGTTATCATCTATTTTTGTTTAAAAAAAAAAAAAAAAAAAAAAAATGTGGTGACTAAAGTTATCATCTATTTTTGTTTAAAATCCTTTAAAATGTATGTTCTTGACAATAAAAAAAACAAAAAACAAAGAATTTTATTTCTTAACCTCAGCTTCGCTAAATCGACCAGCGCTAGATATTCGTTCGAACATTTCTCCTCCAGCTGCATACTCCATTACAATTCCAAGATGTGTCGGAGTTAGAACAACCTAAATCATCAACACACCAAGTTTCAATGTTTTTTTTTGTTAGCATCAAAGTGCCAAATTTTGTGTAGTTTCCGACTTCCTATGGGGTTGAATATATTGAATAAAATCATTGGACCTTGCACGAAGTTAGAGACGAATTATAAGAGAATCCGAATTCAAAGTCAACGACGAGACAGGTTTTTGAACTATGTGAACTAGGAGATTTGAGTAAAGGACAAGAAAAGATAACCTAAGATTCACTTCCTTAACAAACTAAAATATTTCACTTGCCTCTTTAAACCGAACAATATTAGGATGGTTGAGAGCTCTATGATTGATTATTTCTCTTGCAACGTTCTCATCAATCTGCATCAAACAACGAGTGTGGTAACAACCTCAAAGTTCTTAGTATCAGAGAAAAGAACAAACAAACAAAAAAACTAGTAAAACTAAAAACCTTGTTGCCTCGATCGATGAATTTGACAGCCACAAGCTCGTTTGTTTGCTTATTACGCATAAGCCGAGCCAAACCGAAATTACCAAATCCCAAATCCTTCACCATCTCATACTTCTCCATCGCTACCACTACTTTTTTGTTCTCACTTCCTTAAAATGGTCCTTTAATATCTTTTTTTTTTCTTTTTCTTGATGAATCTTCTCTTCCAAAATATCTTTAGAGACTAGAGATATATATATATAGAGTGGGAAAGAAGGAAGTTATTAAATCTCACACACACAAAAAGTGATTTAGTTTACACGTAGCAAATATGACGAATACTTGAATAAAAATGTTGAAAAGCTTTTCAGGATACCAATAGACATTTTTCTTAAGTCTACTAAGTTAAGGACCCACGCATATATAACAATTCTTTCTTAACAATTTTTACGTCTACAACTATTTCTTGTATGTGTTTAAAGATACTCTAAACTGTTGAAATTTACCTCTCAAGCAAGATTAGGTCATTGTATTGTGGTTTTGAGTTTTGAATAGGCTGCATATGCGTCACCGTTTACATGGATGTGGTATTCCTATATTGCACATTTTTCTCCTTGGTTCACTATCACATATTATTAATTATATAGTCTCACATAGGATCAGATGAAACTCTAATGACACCAAGAACATCTTACAAGGTTCATGTGACTACATGTATCAACTATCGAACAATTGAAACGATTTTCATCACTCAGAAAAACAACTTAAAGATCAATGAACCAATAAAACAATCTTGATAAATTCAGTTCGTAGAATTTAGTTGTTGCTGAAAGAAGAAGCTGATATGTTCCAAGCAAAAAAAACATAAACAGTGTGAAGACTACCCATCACTTAAACAAAGAAATGGAAATCTTCATTGTGTTGGCTTTTGATTCTTTTTCCTTTTTCTCACATATACGATTAACTCTTTGGATGTCCTAGAAATATCTTCGGCTTCCGCTTCCGCTTCCACTTCCACTATTTCTTTTCCGTGTGACACATTTTGAGTCTCCTTCGTTTTCTTCAAAAGAACCAACATCAATCTCAATCAAATCCACCATGAACATCTTCAAAAAACAACGATATTTATACAAACCTTCTTATTTAAGCGATGTGTAGACATTAGCTCATAGAATTTCCGCATCATCATCTCTTCTTCCACCTGAAAAAACAAATGTATGTGAGATTGAAAAGAGCTAATGTACACTAAGTTTCATCAAACAAACCTCGAGTTTTTGGAGTTCTTGAGTCATGGTTTTACGAGTTTCTATGAGCAATTCATTTTGCTTCTCCAAATGGCTGTTGATGTGCTGCTAACAACGGTAAATCATATACGCATACACACGAAAATAAGCGTAAAACTGTAACAAAAAGACGCACTTTAATAGATCGTCGGTATGATTAGGATCCATGTTCACAAATTGATCAACTTCTTCCTGGTAAATACCTCTATACTGGTCTTCTGCTGATCACAATGAATCAAAATTTCATCAGAAGATAATTGACAAAAGCATATAAAAAGCACTGTTTTATCACTGATATGATTCTAAAAGTTTGAAGGGTATGATCACAAATTCGAACAACAGCAAAACCCAGATAATTATACCATTCAAATTAGCTGATTAAAGGAAGAAGCACAACGAACCAAACAAACATGGGAAAAAAAAAGAGATTTAGAGAAGGAATATCTCAGTTAGACAATTCGTCGAGCAACTGGTGTGCATATATACATAAATTATCAAAAAGGAAGTCCTTTTAGTAAAATCTTGAAAATTATGTGAGTGTATTCAAGTACGTACGTACCCTTTCGTCAAATTTTGACGATTCTTATAACTTCACCACCAATAACAACACTTGACGATTGTCTTCTTCTCTGTCTCACACTCGTTTGTGTTGTCCTGCAATCTCTCTCACCCAAAATCAAGTCCTCTCTTCTACAATGGAGTTTACTGGGCTAATGGGCCGGTCCATTGTGACCCAATATATGATAAAAGAGACCAAAATGTAACATAACACACACCTTGTAATTGTAATTGATTGAGCCAACTACACTTGGTATTGATATTTGTAGTTGTATTTTTTCTTTAAGGGTTCTTTGATCCACTCCAAGATTTTGATCCTCGATTAAATTTTAAAGTATGTTAAAAAGTAGAAAATATGTGTATCGAGAAACGATCTCTGACTTCTCTGATGTTATGCTTTTCACTTAACCATCTTTATAGAAAACATACAAAAAGATTTGATTCGTTTTGTCCTTTGAATAAATGTTACCGAGAAATTCTGATTACTACAGAGAACTGCTTAAAACACTTCTTTTTTTCCTTTATTTTTTTCATTCATCACCCACAAATCACAAAAATGCAACCATTGGATTCGGTTTTTTTTTGTCTTTGCCGTAGTCAAAAATCTTGGGTTTATTTTGTAACATTACACAATGGGCAACCAAAAAGAGTTCATGTGCCAAGCACTTAGAAAGAAAAAAAAGAGTTAAAAAACAAACAAACAAACAAGCGTGGTGTTTGGGTTTTCGAGCCTTGAGAGGTTGGTGGGTGTGTTGTTGTGAATCTCTAAGTTTTCTCTGTAAGTTTTATATTTGTTTACATGTATATAAAACAATGTTTCTTTTTAAGTGACCCTTTTAAGCTTTCTTGAGAACAAGATTGTGCATAGATCTCTTCTTAGCTTTGTTTCTCTTTTATGTCTAAAGATCTTGAAAGTATTGTGTAAAATAACTTCTTAAAAGAGTGAAAACAATGAAGTTTATGAAACTTGGAACCAAACCTGATTCATTTCAATCTAAAGGAGACAATGTTAGGTTTGTAGAAAACAGATATTTACCTCTATGTCTCTCTTTGATTATGTTTAAGCAGTGTTTTTTTTGCTCTTAGGTATGTAACAACTGAGTTAGAAGCAGAGATCATCATCATCATCGACAATGTCAAATTTTATCTGCATAAGGTATGGAAAAAAACTTCAGCTTTTAGAACATCAATCACAAGCAATGTTTTTATGTTCTGTGTGTGTTTTCAGTTCCCATTGCTGTCGAAAAGCGGATTCTTGCAGAAACTCATAGCAACATCAAAAAATGAAGAGGAGAAGAAGAACCAAATTGATGAGATTGACATATCAGAGATTCCTGGTGGTTCTGTTGCGTTTGAGATTTGTGTCAAGTTCTGTTACGGCATCACGGTGACTTTAAACGCTTACAATGTAGTAGCAGCTCGTTGCGCGGCTGAGTTCTTGGAGATGAATGAAACGTTTGAGAAAAGCAATCTTGTTTACAAGATTGATGTTTTCTTGAACTCAACCATCTTCCGTAGTTGGAAAGATTCTATAATTGTGCTTCAGACCACAAAAGATCTCTTGTCTAATTACTCAGAAGAGCTCTTGAAGCGTTGTCTTGACTCTATTGCTTCTACAGCTTCGATAGACACGTTGAAAGTCAAGTGGTCTTACAGTTACAACAGGAAGAAGAAGCTTGAGAACGTGAAAAAACCAGAAGATGCGGTTCCAAAAGACTGGTGGGTAGAAGATTTATGCGATCTTCATATGGAATTGTATAAACAAGCCATTGAAGCAATCAAGGCGAAAGGGAAAGTCCCGAATACCGTTATTGGAGAAGCGTTACACGCTTATGCAAAAAGAAGAATAGCTGGTTTTAGTAAAGGCTCAATGCAAATCGTTGATAAATCTTTAACTGATACAATCATTGAGCTTATACCAGGTGAGAAAAGAAGTGTTTCTTCTAGTTTCTTGACCAAGTTACATCGAGCATCGATCTTTCTTGGATATGAAGAAACAGTGAAAGAGAGGTTAAAGAAAAGAATCAGTGAGCAGCTTGAAGAAACAACAGTGAATGATATCTTGATGTATGATTTGGATATGGTGCAGAGCCTAGTGAAGGAGTTTATGAACCGTGATCCGAAAACTCATTCGAAAGCATCTGTTGCAAAACTCATAGATGGATACTTAGCTGAGAAATCAAGAGATCCTAATCTTCCTCTTCAGAACTTCCTCTCGCTCGCGGAGACACTCTCTAGCTTCCCAAGACAGTCTCATGACGGGTTATATCGCGCCATAGACATGTTTCTCAAGGTAAAACAAGATCCATATTCTCTTGTAGTTTCTCATAAAGATTCTTGATTTTTAATGGGTTTTGATTTGGAAATGTTCAGGAACATTCGGGTGTTAGCAAGAGCGAGAAGAAGAGAGTATGCGGGTTAATGGATTGCAGGAAACTATCAGCGGAAGCGTGTGAACATGCTGTGCAGAACGAACGTTTGCCAATGCGAGTGATAGTGCAAGTTCTCTTCTTTGAACAGCTCAGAGCCAATGGTTCATCAACAGGATACAGTACTCCTGAGCTCACCACAACGACTCTAAACACTGAGGATGATGAATGGGACCATGAGAAAGAGTTTTGATCTCAGCATTATTGAATCTTTTATCATATGTTTCTTCAGAACTTTACATCAAACTTTGAGTTTTTCCTGGTTATTGTTTTTCTGAATTGGAAACATTTTGGTCCTGACCTTCGTAAATGGGTCAGGTAGTAATGGGTTTTGTGTCTGGGCTTGAAGCCGTTCCAATCTCAATTTTTAATGAGACTAAAATCAGAGAAAACTCTCATTTGTATTTGTCCGTAACCCAAAAGAAAAACCGCAATTATCTATAAACCAATTAGGGGTCGATTGGTTGAGATTTTTACTGTAAGCTTTATTTTAAATTCATGACTGTAAAATTTATGATTTTAGAAAATAAATCGTAATTTTTAAGAAAATAAAGTCATATTTTGTTGGCTTTAAAAAAAGTTGCCATTATAAAAGTTGCCATTAGTATTTCCCTCCATGGTCTATGTTAATTTTACAAATGGTAAACAGAAAAAAGAAACAAATTATCTATATTATTAAAACTGAAGTATATTTGACAAAGAAAGTTTGGAGTTGGAACTTATTTAAAGGCAATGATATTGGCATTTATTTATTTTTAAATTATTCTCTCAAGAATCTTTATCATATATCTTTAGTAAAGTAATGGTTACGGCGGAATTTAAATTAAAATCAATTTTAATTCGATTTTGATTCATTTATTTATTTAAGAAAAAAAGTATTTTTTGGAATATGTTGTGATTCGAATTTTTAAAAATAGACATACTATACTCAAATATGATAAATAAACGTTTTCAAAAAATAATGTAAAAATTGTATTACAACATAAAAATTAGCGGGATGGTGGAAATTTATATTAGAATATATAATAAAAAATATTATACTATTTTAGTACTATGAATATAAAAAACTAAAAACATAATTTTGTCAAAATTTTAAAATATACTAAATACTAAACTATGATATAACTTATAATGGAAACCGTTTTTGTGGAAAATTCAAAAAGAAACTGTTTCACACAAAAGATGCAGAATCAGTGTTGCACCCCCAAATGCAAACGGCAAGCCTACGGCAATGAGGAGACGATTTTTTCAAGTACTTTTCATATAACTTGATAACATCAGTCTTCTTTATCTGTCTTAGTTCAGAGGAAACTTTCTTACTGAAACCAGGATAGAATCTGCACATCAACCAATACTTAGAGATCAGTTTCAAAGTCAAGCACACTTACACAACAACAACAATAACAACAACAATATCATTTCAAAGATGTAAAACATACCTTCTCTCAGCAATCTGATCCCACAAATTAGATCCATCGTCGCTTGGCAAATCACCACTCAGTACGGTTTTGCATTTTTCAAAGGCAACACCATCAATACCTTCCTATAAGATTTCAATAGATTTCAAATCTTAATAACGCCGGTTAATTTGAAAAAAATAACTTCCAATAGATTTCAAATCTTAATAAAAAAATCATACCAAAAATACCCCAACGGTGTCCACATAGTTGAATATTCGATCCAACAAATGTTGAGGGTCGTGCTCCGAAGAACTAACATCAATGATGAACGGGTTGATTCCATGGATAGAATGAACCTCAGACTCAACTTTATACCCAAGAGTCTCTTTTACCCTAGAAATAGTGAAATCAACTAAGTTGTATAAGTTCTGCGCTACATATTCTACCATAATCCAAACTGCAAACTAACCTTAGTTGATTGTATAAGTTGTTGGCTACCATTTTTTCAAACAGTTTTACAACTGCTGTTTCCCTCGGACATAAGCTTTTTTTCCCAATTTGGTAGCAAACCTAAAACCATAACCAGAATAATTAAGAATGATGAACATTACAAGTTTTAGTAAACTTATTTTTATATATGATACTACCTTTTCTTTATATAAAAGTAAGGAAAAGCTTGATACTTACTTGGTAAAGTATCTCTGCCAGAGAATCTTTTAGAAGTCCAACATACAATTTTATGCAAAGTTGATTCTTCAAGTCAGAATCGAGATCATGGTGGACACAAAAATTGATTGTTGGCAGCCCTTCTTCTTCTGAACGCCACAGATTCATGTTCGAGTTATGCACAAACTTATGTGGAAGTTCATCCTCATCCACAGATTCTTCATCATTAGTATCCTCATCCTCAGATTCTTCATCATTAGTATCCTCATCCTCAGATTCTTCATCATTAGTATCCTCCTCCATTAAATCATCCTAACTGTTGGAGATGGAAGGAACCTGTTCTCGGGGGGGAATCGAAAACAATGATCTCCTTCAAAATTATTACGCCGCCATCAATACAATAAAAACAATAAGAGTCTCTCCAGTGATGACACATCAGCTTTTTGAGCTGTTCTAGGAGTGACACATCATTAAAATTTTAATCCAATCAAAACATTTCAATTAATACACATCAGCTCTCCAACTTGCCACATCATCTCTCCAGCTTGTCACGTCAGCATTTTACATAAAAATAAATTCTTTAAAAAAGACAACCAATCAAATTAAAACAAATAATACACTCAATTATTTTAAAATTTAGGATAATGACACAGATTTCTCATTTGTTTCATAATTCAATTTTTTTTAAAGTATATATTTTAAAAAACCTGTGTGATATCAAATAGCTTTTAGTGAACAATATGCATGAAGTGAATTTAACAAGTGGTTTACGGTGCATGTAGTTTTTATAAATTAATTTTTTTTAATATAAATATTTATGGTATAAAATTAGAAGTTTTTTCAGATTTTGTATTTTACATTTGCTCGTATTTTAATATTTTTAATTTTAATATTTTATATATGCATATATTAAGAAATAATTTAATATCTTATTTTAAAAGAAATATACGATATAGTTTTTCTTTGTAGTTGTTTGTTTTTGTTTTATGTTTTTAGTATGTTTAACTTTTTACAAATGTTAGATCGTTTTAATATTGTGATATATGTAAATATTTTTCAACTATTATTATACTTCAAAAACCTTAGATTCTTTCTGTTAAAATTATTTGTGGTACACAAGCATAATTTGAATAATACTTAAATATTTAATGTCTTTTATTTTTCATTCTTTTTTACTATTATATCACAATAATTAGTTACGCTGATTTTGTTTTGTGTACTTTTATTCGTTAAAATCCGAATAATATGAAAAAAATTTAACTTTAAAATAATTCAATTATTGAATTAGATCAGATCAATATTATTAGGATAGACATTTTAACCGAACCGAACCAAACAAACTAAAGTCAAACCAAACCATAACTTACATACAAACAAAAACCGATAACCCACAGTGTTTATTTATATAACTAATTTAAAATATTAAATAATATTGTAAATACTAATATTGGATTGTCTAAAGAAGAAGGTACGAAGATCGTTTAGAAGTTAAAAGCTCTTGATGTTAAAGCTCTTTAGAAATGAAATCATCAATTTGTTTTAAGGTATGTGTTACTTTAAAGCTTCAAATTTTCTTCCCCCATCTAAAAGCTCAAGATACAAGCTGATTAAAGGGTTTCGTAAAGTCATAGATTACACTTACTCTTTTTCATTGCTAAATAGGGTTTTAGAGATGAATCTTTGCTACTTCAAGATGTATGGTCATAGGTTAGGTTTGTAATATTTCTCTTTTTTACTTCAATGCTTTATGATTCTTTACTCCTAAGAGTATACGATTGCTAAATTGGTTTATGTTTCTTTTTTATTTTAATAGTAGAAATTCACAGCAGTAAAGAACCTTACACTCTTAGGATTATAACCTCACATTTGATCTGTTCTATGATCTTGTCTTCTTACTTCAAGATGTATGGTCAAACCCAAATCTCTATGTTTCTCTTCTACCCATATCTTGTTTCACTTGATCATCTGCATATAAAGCGCAAAGCTTTGTTAGTTCCTGTTCAGAAATAAAATTCACAAAAGAGAAATGGTCAAATTATTCTATGTTGTAACCATAGAAATGTGTAGCAAGTGAAATTTGCAATTGCAATTTGACTTATCTTAGATCTATGTTCTTTTTGTTATTTGTAATGTCACAAATGTTATTGATTAATTAGTTATTATTGGTGATCTCTTTTGTAAGAGTATATAATTCAGCATAGCAATAAGTTGACAATTAACTATATATTTATGGTTTATGTTTTGAATGAAGTTGATTTCACGTCGGCTCAAACGCTTGATCTACTATGTTCCAAGAACACTTAATGGTAAAATATAAGTTTAGTAAAAAGACAAGGAGAAAGATGAGATTCTAAGGCTCCTTTCAAATAATGCTAAGAACCATATGATCATAATTATGTAACTGTTTATCTTTGAATATTCTAATTTTAAGTCACAAGCCAAGTTATATTAACCAATGTTTATGAACTGTTTAGCCTACTCTTTTTTTTTAGAAAAAATCCATAACAAAGCATGGTCCATCTTTTTCGATTTCTATATTTTCATGTAATTTTTGTAACTTGTGTTCAATTAAATTTATTTAATAAGTTTCATCGAAGTAATGTATTCTCATTTAAAAAAACATATATGAATTTAAATCTTGACTGTTATGATGTTTTTCAAGAGAGATTGATGTCTCTCGTGCTCGATCGACTGACCGATTCCAATAAGAAAGTCAATATAACAAACTTTATTATTTTTAAGAACAAAGATGAAAGACATGTTTGTCAAGCTTTTAGAGAAGTAAACAGATTTACAATCATATTGTAAACACATCCTCTTTCTTTTTTATTTTTGTTGCAACTATATTGCTTTGGTTTTGATAAAACAATAAATAGAAATTTTAGAAAAATATCCCGCAGCGTAGCGCGGGTTTCGACCTAGTTCTTTTCTAATAGAAGATGGAATAGGTACTTTGGTGTAGAAAGAGTTGAACCACGGTTCAACTTTGCAACCTGTATACAAAGAATAAAAGTTAAGACAAACACATGGTTCAAACCAAAAAAAACCAATGAGATTTAATTGATTTCTTTATACCTGCTTGATCAAATGTTTTAGATATGAAATCAAGCCTCATATTCTTTCTATCAAAATACTGCAAGAGTTCTAAAACGGACTCTTTGCTGTGCCGAAGGTTGATGTAATCCCCAGAAAGAACATGCTTCAATGGATAATGAAGCATGTTAGCTGTATAGGACAAAATTTTATTAGAAATTAAATAAAATTGGTAGTAAAACAAAGAAGTATCAAAAAAAACAAGAGCAAAAACCAAACCTGCAATTCTATGAACTAAAGACTCCATGTTTAAACCAAGTTCATCATAATCATCAAATGATTCAAACTGTTTTTTTCTCATCTCAAAATATTCTTGCATGATCCAAGAAGGAGCTTCTTCACGAGTTACGAAACTAAGAAATTTATAGACATAGGTGACGATGTCATATATCTGTAAAAAAAAAAAAGGAGGAGGTTCTTCAAGAGTTACAAAACTAGGAAACTTATACACATTGGTGAAATTGAATTGAAAGAGTAAACAATAGAATAGTACCTCAGTGATAATGATGTTGTCTTTCAGATGAAGAGAAAGAGTGAATAATCTCCCTATTGAAGTGCTATCAATCGATAACTCAGAATCGTCAGAACCGTTACAAGCCCCAATGAAAACATCTAGGCTAGTAATCCATCCTTTGTTTTTGAAAAGAGAGTATAGTGATCCTTGAGATCCTAACAAAATTGGAAAAAAAAGTTAGAAAGCTCCAAAAAATTATGAAGGAAAATAAAATAGAAAAACAAAAGAATACTTACGATGGCCTAAGACTTTTTCAAGAAAAATTTCTGGCTTGTATAGATGAGAATCTGAATCTGCAGATTTTTTTGAAACTGAATCTGGAGGAATCTGGGGAGGAATTCTCCAAGTAAGACGAAGAATATTGTCGTCCTCAAGAGCTTTCAGCATATAGAGCTTTTTACGTTTCCAAAAAGGAATGCTTGAATCAAGCCTAAATAATTCAGTTTGTAATCCTTGCTCAGTGCGCTTAATGTCAGAGAAGTAAGAAATCACCCATTCTTGAAGTTTCTCAAGAGGTTCTACAAGCGATTACAATAAGAGACATATCAAATGAATCATTCTTTTGAATTGCATAAAAGAGTAGAAAATTGCCGTGGAAAAGAGACTTGTGGTTGCCTATTGGTGCAAAAAGACAAATGTTAAACAAGTGTATTAAAGGGGACGAAAATGTTATTTTTTAGATCCTATACCCCATGTAAATCTGTTAAAGGGATGACATGTTGGAGCTCCATGTGCCATGAGCTGTTCAAGACGTACTAAATCAGTTTGTCTACTTAATTCAAATTCTGAAAAGAAAAGAAAAGAAAACTTGTTAAATATCAGCAATAGTAATAGAATTATATCACTGATCTCAATAGCGATTACAGCAAAAATGACAAACCTGCATCCATTAACTTGATCTCACGTTTCATAACTTCTTCGTCTAAACTAGGATTAGTAAATAGCTTTGAAAACCTTTCAAGTCCACCTTGAAGGGCACCATCTCTGACACGCAGGTTGAACGTAGTATAATCCAATTCGGTCTGAGCATTTGTTTCCCCTCCATTCTCATCTGCATACCGGGACAACTATAAAGTAATAACAGGAGCAAACCTATTAGATATAGATATTGATCAAGTAATTTATAAAGAAAGTGATAAGAAAGTATTGTACCTCATCACAGTCAGGATATTCTGGTGATCCTTCGAACACCAAGTGTTCAAGAAGATGTGCCAAACCCATAGCATCCTCAGGATCTCGAAAAGATCCACATCTAACAAGCATCACCGCACCTGCTGAAGATAGTCGTGGTTCTGATATGAGAATAGCCGTAAGTTCATTCTCTAAGCGAATGGCTTTGAATTTTTTGTCGCTTCCAGGAGGTGCTTCAACTTCGTCTAAGTCCATACTCTGAGACTAGGAACATGAAAACAGAGAACAGGATGTGAAATCAAAGAAATAAGCGAACCGATCACACAATATCGATAACGCAAAATATTTCACGTTCAGACAATGAACTACACAAAAAAACGTAAACATTTGCTTCAGCGTATTTCAAACAATAGAAGAAAGCTCACTCATAACAAAAATCCAATTCCGTGGGGAATCAAAAGTAAATTCATTGATCAAGACGTTAAAGCAAAAAACATGATTACAACTTATTGAAGTTCATTGAAGTTGAACGAGAACGTCATCAATTCATGTACTGACAGAAACATGAAGCTATCCGTGAGAGTAGCTGAGAGTATGCTCAAGGTAGAGCTGATAAGACACATAGGAAATTGTGTCTAAGCTTGACGACAGGTTCTTGATAAGAATGATTTTTAAATTAGTGATGTAGATGCTAAGTTAAAGAATAAGTTTTCAAAGATCTCTTTTTTTTTTTTGGTAAAATTTCTCAAAGATCTCTTGATTCAAAGAAGATGAATCTAAGAAAGAGATGGATAAGTTGTTTATGTATAAGCTATGGGGAGACTCAAGACTCAAGATTTGCAATTGGCAAAAGTTCAAGACATTGCTCAGTCTCGTATTACTAGAAGTTTCAGAAATTTCAACAAGCAAGTTTGAGAATTTCTGGAAAAAAAAAAGAGTAATTTCAACAAGCAAGTTTGGTTTCAAATGCAGATCTATAACAGACCTTTGATTTTGTGAAATCTTCACACAGTAAAGGAACTTCATCAACAAACTCAGATTTTTTCTTCCATTTTGCTTTATTTTTCTCAGAAGATGAAGAAAAATGCAAAATACAAAGCATAACATAATGAAAAAAGAGACGCCGGTGTGAACTCACCGTTGTAATCGTGAAGAACTTTTGCTGCTTAAACCCAAGGAAGAACTTTTGCTTCTTTACAAACCCAAGGAGTGGCCAGCATTCTCCACCCTTCTTGACGAATTCGGATTGCTCCGAGATTGTTTTCCAACCTTTTCGCTTTCTCATATTCCTCGCTCTGATAACTTAAAGGCCGACTGTTTAGCCCGATCTACTAGAACTATTTTCTCTGATATTTCGTTTGTAAACAACTTTCCTCTTGATTGGGCAACCAATCGAGGAGTGACTTTCTAATTAATGTTTGGTTGAAAAAAAAAAAAAAAACCGACTTGTTCTACAATCTTGACCCATCGGAGGGACGGGGCGAATTGGATTCACACCAATACCATCTCAAATGTGAAAGTTATTATTTTCTAAACCAAAGGATTCTAGGCTTGCCTTATTTGGAACCTTTCATGTTTGGGAGACTTCAATCACATGTTTGGTGCCCAGGAGAGTCTCTAATACTTCCATATGATCCTAAGAAGACCTCAAGCTTCATTCCCAGCCATTGGATCAGGTGGATTCAATCTTGTCTACTTCTACACCAAGACTTGCCATATATGTACCCGAGAGCATTTAAAGCCCAACCCCAACGGCGATCTTCTGAATTGGTGTGTCTTAAGAGTGTTATTATGAGGTTAATAGGCCATGGAATCATACAGAAGCTGTCAAGATACAAGAGCCCACAAGTTTCCTTCTTTGGACGAGCCATTAAAGCTCCAACGGTTAGTTTCTTTGAAGACCAAGTCCTTTGATATTTCTCACTCAAATTTCGTGTATCTTTTTTCCATTTAAGATTACTATACTGTTAGAGAGTCCTAGAGGTCGTGCCTATAAAGCTCAAATCATTTGTACTATTTTTACTTACCCGTTTTCATTGATTTAATAAACATTCAGTTTTCCTACAAAGTGTTGTCTTTGTGTTCTTGTTTTTGTCTTTAGGATCTAAGTGTAGAATCACTTGTTTTCTATTGATTTTCGGACCAGATTGTTTGTGGGATCAAGACGTCTTGTTCTGTGCGTGATTGTGGAATCAATCACAAATCCCATCTCCATCTCTATCAACATCCATTTTCCGCAACAAAGCTTGTCAACTTTTGACATCTTGTGATCAATAAGATTTGGTGGATTCCAATGTTATATCAATAAGTTCACGAAAAAAATTGATGCTACCCACTCTATCAGAATAGAGGGCTCTCAAGGGTATGATTCATCTGTTCTTGTATCTCTTTGTTCTTTTAACCAAAACTATGGGAACCGCCCTAATATATCCTATAAAAGCACCAATGTGGACAACCCTTAGTTTTCAAACCTAACAATTCATATGATGAACTGTAAGCAAATGTGACTTTTAGAAAAAAAATGTAAGCTAATGGTTTTGCATTAACAATGATGTCATGTCACTTTCAGCTAAATACTTGTGAGTTGTTTAAAACACAAATTGAAAATATAAATTATTAAAAAAAAAAAAGTAAATAGAATAACAAATCAGAAAAAATTCCACAAAAATAAGGAATATATTTCATCCTCTCACCAAAAAAAGGAATATATTTCATCCAAGATTCTATTATAAAAAATATTACATCCAAAAAATCATCTAATAGCATCTTCTCAACTTCCCAAAAGTTAAAATACATCTTAATCTCACATTGAAAATTAAATAATATTTCTTTCCTTAAATATAAATTAATTTTGTCATTTTGAGTTATAAAATTAAAATTCTCTAGGGTCAACAAAAATGGAATCGTCAGGTGGTGATTTAGTCCAGTCACCAACAGAACCATCACTATAATCTTCTCCAAGCCGTTTAATACACCACAAATCCTCGGCGCACGATAGCACTTTCCAATGTGGTATTCCTCGCCGGAGCGGCTCTCCTCCGGCTACTTCCGCCGCCACGACGCCGCATCCTCCTTCCTTCGCCAAATTATGCGCATGACCACACAATGCTTTCACCATTTTCTCCACGCTTGGTCCTTCTCCGCCGATGCCATACATAAAATGCAGCCCAAACGGCCTGAAAACCGCCGGAATCGACGGAATTTTAAAAAACGGTAACGTTTTATCAACCACGCGCGTCGTTTTAGCCAACACGCGCCTTAATCTCGACGCGCCGCGAACTTCTAACCGAAACGAGTCTTTACAGTTCCAAACGCTTAAAACCGCCCACGAATCGGGTGGATACTCCAAGAATTTAGCCGAACCGGGCCATGACCCGAACCCGGATCCATAACAACTGCCACGTGGAACCGCAACGAATGTTCCTAATGAGAGTTTGTTATTCAAAACCGAGTCAATGTCACGAGGAAAAAACTCGGTTGTGCTAAACCGGAGCCGGTATAGTAACTCAGCATCACTCGGTTCAAGCTTAATTACGGTAACCCGACGAGAAATGTTAACCCGGTGTGCGTAAACCGGGTTAACCAAAATCGACGGTGTACGAAACTCGGAGTAACCACATTTTCCGGTGAAAAGATTAACGGAAGCGTGATTGTCGTTTTCAGTTGCAAAATAAGAATATTCTGCGCCGTTTTGACTAAACCAATCTTCCATAGCCTTCACGAGCTTAAACCCTATCCCTTGTCGCCTGAAGTAATTAAAAACGTGATTAGGATTAGCGTTAATTACTCGTGATTAGTGTAACGTTAATTACGTGAGATTAAAAACGTACCGGTGTGTAGGAGAAACGCGGAGACCCAAAATGTAAGCGAGTTTAGTGTAAAGTGGTTTGGTAATAACGACATCGTTTTGGGATTTGTTATGAGTTAAATCGAGTCTTTTGGTACTACCACATGTAACGGTTTTGATACATCCTCGAATCATTCCAACTAACTCTTTATTCTCCTTCGGACCAATCTCAGCCACCTGTTACAATTTGTAAATTTTAAAATAAGACCTTTTTTTATTTAATAACTAAACCAAAAGAAAAAAATTGGGTTAGTTAGTTCATGTAATTGCTTCTTTACATAAAGAAATGGTTTTTAAAAATTAATATTTTCGAGTTTGAGTAGTAACCACTAACCAGCATAAGGCAAAAAGGTAAATGTCGTTTCATTTATCATTTTCTTTTATTAGTTAACCATAAAACAAAACAAAACAATTTTTTTTTTTTTGATAACCAAAACACAATCTTCTATGGTTAGTTAATTCGTATATTTGCTTCGTCATTATAAAAAGAAATAAGAATTCTCCCTAAATAGTGATTAAATTGAAATTTTTTTTTTTTTTTTTGCTTAAGAATTGGAATTTAACTTGAACAACTTAAATTAGGAAAAATGAGTATTATTTTTTTAACTTTTAGGAGTTTTGAGTAAATTACCAGCATGAGGTAAGAAGGAGAATGTCGGACACGGCAAATAGGGTCACCTAAGAGATCGGTGAAGAGAGAAAGTTTTCCGGTTGGGCCAACTTCGCACCGCCGTTCAACGTCTTCTACGGTGGCTAAGTCTTTACTCGGGTCGTATTCTCTAACCTCCACAACCACCGTCATATTCTCTGTTTTTTTTATCCTCTAGTAACTAAAAAAACAGAGGAGATAGAGAGAGCGAAAGTGAGAGAGGTATGGAGAAATGAGAATAAAGTGTGAAGTAGTAGCTTTAGGGTTTTATATAGAGGAAAATAAGTGAGGGCGGAAAAAAAAAAAAAAAGAGGAAAATAAGTGAGACTGTTGCAATCAAAAGTCAGCAGATTTTCCGAGGACATAGGATTTTTATTTTTTTATAAATTAAATTAAATAACGTGAGGTATAAGCAAAGAACACAGAAGCTATGATGTGATTCTAATGTTTAAGCTATATGAAATTTAACGTGATGTGATTTGTTTTTTTTTTTAATTAAAAAAGAAGAGTTTTAAAAGTTTTTGAGAATGATTTTTGGTGGTTGCTATTCTAGTTTATGAATAATAATATATCATTGGTTTTAGCCTTTAGGACGTTGAGAAATCTACTAATGGTTCTATCATTGGAGAGAATTAATAGGACCCAATATTAATTCCCCCTATTAATTAAGCTCATTTTCCCCAATATTCATTTTTTGGAATATACTGTATTAATTTTAATATTTTATATTATGGAATTTTCAGTAAACAAATGAACGAATCTAGAAGAAATTGATATCGATCGTGAGATCATGCACAGAAGAAAAAAGAATTTGGAATGATCTTTTTAGTAC